CAAGGGAAGTGCACGGCCGGCCCACGAGAAATCGACACGAGAAAGTGGACTGATAGAACGGACACGGGATTCCGAACTGTAATCAGAATCGCAAATAAGAGGGAGAAAAAAGTTATGAAGCTTCAAAGTTGGCCAAATCGCCATAAACGGCGCCTTTAAGGGCCCGTAAAAGCTGGGGGAACGGAATTGAGCAGAAAATATTTAATGCATCTTGTTCAGCAAAAAAAGCTCTTTTGATTGAGCTATATTACTTCAAGTTTACGATCATTTCGCGGAAAGCTCTTCTATGAACTTGACAGGCCATACTCTTGCCCGGGTATCCAAAAAAACTCTTTTCGGTGAATTATTTGGCAATGGTGCGTATTCCAACTCATTCGAAAGCGCTTTTTCTGCTGAACAAGATGCACTAAATATTTTCTGCTCAATTCCGTTCCCCCGGTTTTTACGGGCCCTGAAAGGTACGGTTTTGGCGATTGGCCAACTTTGAAGCTTCATAACTTTTTTCTCCTTTTTATTTAGCAAATTCTGATTACAGATTCGGAATCCCCGTGTCCGATTCTATCAGATCCACTATGTCTCGTGTCGATTTCTCGTGGGCCGGTCGTGCACTTCCCTTGTTAGGTTAGGATTGGGCTTAGGCTTGGGATTATGCTTTGACGTGGGCTTAGGCCTTTGTCATTTTGCCATTTGGTGCACCCGATCGTGGTCCGTATTTTCCACAGGGTTTAAGATTCATCGTTTTCGGCTTTGTTGCTACAATATTTTTATCCAACACAGTTACAGCCAAGAAACCTAATCGTTCGAGGGCGTGCGCTTATTTCTTGCTGACCCACTTCTTGTCCACCGACGCATCCCGCTTCTGTTTCAGATGGCCCCTGGTGTGGTCGGAGATGTTCTGCATATGAGGAGTCGGCTGCTCTAAAACAGTCAAAGTAACTGGTTTTTAGACTAGTTTTTAGACTTTACGCCCCCCAGCCGAGAAACCCAAAAATTTTCGAAATTGCCGCTATTCTGTAGGGACTTTTGCCCCCCCCCCCCGCTATTTCATAAGCATCGAAAAATACACGCTGAGTTTTAATTGCAGCTCAAATAAATGCGAAATTAAAAACTTATGCCAAAAATTTCCGGGAATTTCCGGGCGGGGGGTGGCGGGGTAAAGTTTTACCGATTTTAATTGTAATGCGTCTTCTTTATTGGACTTGTCGTCTTCGCAAAAAAAAACTTACGATGGTAGTTGGGGAAGGTGTATTTGTTCTTATCCTGGTAGTTGGTGGAGTTTTTGCCTTCACCATGTTGTTCGCCTTTCAGGACAGCGGACATGTCCACTCCAACAGAGTTTGCCTTTGATTTCCCTTGGTAAGGCATCGTCGATGCTGAAATCGGTTTCAAATTCCAAAAATTCTAAAAGTAAAATACACATCAACACACATGGAAGCCAAAGTTAGCTTGGTAGGCATGTGGAAAAGTGAACCCGGACATAATCTCGAAAATGAGATTTTGGAATTTTCAGAATTCGAAAAATCGAATTTTGTCAACGCTTAATTGCCATTTAGCAAAATTTAAAAAAAGCAACTTCTAACAGCAAATATAAGAGGGTTTTTTCTGCCCTTTTTAATTACTAATAGCATTAAAATGTCGAATTTTGTATTTAAGTTATACAAAAATCTGTTTTTGGCCAAAACTGGCGTCCAAATTTGGCAATTGTCTAAGTTTCTTAGATAGTCAAAATTTAGACTGCGTTCCGCTTCCAAAATTGCCCAATTTTAGTAAAAAGGCTATGAAAATGCTTAATATCACGTTATTAGGCATTTATGGACCTATGCAAGGCTTTATCTTTCCAACTTTTTTCCAAGAAAATTTTTGAGCTATGTTTAAATTCGAGAGTTGTAAATTCCTTATTTCTAGAAATACAATTTTTGGAAAATTTGGAATACTGGTGTTTGAGAATCCTATAGGTATCGATAAAAAGACTTGGAAGGATTTGGATGGCGTGTCAAACTAGTAAGCTAACCCGTTAGTTTTATAGTGGCACAAAAAGGGCGGAGTCATATAAAATCCGCGACTACACTTGGCTAACAATCCGTAAGCCGAAATGACGTGCAGCAACAACCAGAGATCGTCCTTTGAAGCGACCGCCATTCCAGAATTATCGCGCCTGCTCCCGGTCTATGACTCATTACAATCAGCGCCCATTTTATTTTAATGAACACATGGCTTACAGAATAGAAACCGGTAAGCTCTGGGGCACAAGGTCGTAAAAACGAAGAAGTTTGGTTTGAGGTGCCAAAATCAACGTTATTTAAGTCACTTGTTAAGTGTTATACAAAAAATGCTATTTTTTCATCTCAACCTCCTGCCGTGGCGCCGAATCCCATAAATTTCAGTGTTTTCGCAATGAATGAACGCAATGCAAGATTTTAAAACTTATCAAATCATTTCTGGAATTCTCAGAGGATTTTAATCATCTTAGCTTGTTTACTTGTCAAAATTTAGATACGAGTCTTCAAGATCGGCCAATTGAACTCACTACAGGTTCACGCATCGCAATGACATTCAATTCACGCGTGCTAAAACGTTTGATTTTCTCGCAAAACATTTCGTTTTTCGCAAATATCTGGCCTTTCATCGCAATAAAATCACTTAAGCACGAGTAGCGTCAATGTGCGCTGCAGATTGCGGCGCTCCAGAGATTTCGAGAGACACCCAAAGCTTAAAAATCGGTCTGGAGTTTTTCATTTAGCCCAAAAATTTTTGTCGTTAGATACCCCATACCCGAACAAATCCATTTTCATGCCTTGCCTGTCCCCCAAACCCTGTTGAGGCAGAACGTGCTCCTGCTGTCACGTTTCCTTTAAAAGTCACCACACCTCGCTATCCACTTGTTCACTCGAAATAATCCCTCGCCGTTGCTCCCCGATTGGGGCGTGTCCCCGCTCTCGATTCTTGGCTCCATTTTTTCCGGCTGATTATCCCCTTCTAGTGAGAAAGAGGGCCCAGGGAGGACCCAATTTGCCGGTGTCGCTGCGGGACCGCTTCCAGTACTCCTCCATCCCAGTGTTAAACCTCGTCGTCTTCTGTCGGCCTACCCGATGCGGGTAGCAGATAATTGCGTTCGTTATTTTTGTTCGCGGAATGGATGGGTTGGGTGCAGAAGCTACGAATGAAAAAGGGGGAGATTCGTTTTTTTTTATGTGAATGAGCTGGATTGGATCATTTTTTAGGGAGCAGTTTTTTGCTCCTAACTAGGCTAATTTGAAGAAACGGCAGAAGTCCTTACGTAGAGAGTTACCGTAGGAAAAACATGGGCTCTGCTGGTGTTTCAGGCGTCTATATAGATCTCTATTTTACCAAAATTAATTTTTTCTCACTTCACACTTATTGGCCGCTTTTGCTACACTTTTTGACCCTTCTAGCGGTCGATAGTATCTTGTCTTGGAATGTATTTCAAATTTAGTATCCTGGAAATCATCAGGTTTTTTAAAGCTGTCAAAAATACGGGAAATTAGTGTTATGAAAAATCGCGGTTAAGGAAATTGGCAAAGGCGGCCCGCAATTTTAGGCAGATAAACAGTACCCCGCGTCTCTTTTTCATTTTTCACGCATCCGGATTACGGTAATTCCGGATTGGCATTTTGCAAGAGGTCTAATAGCATTTTTAGAGCTTAATCGCCGGCTCGATGCACCCGAAAACTGGTGTCCATAAAACTAATCCTCACGTTCGAGGGCTTGTGCTCTTCGTTTGATCCAGAGAATTTTTTTTGTATAAGTTTACAACTTGGTATCCCCGATCTTGTTATTCTCTGCAAAAATATTGCCTCTCTAACAACCCAGAGCGAATTGCGACGCTAGCTGGATCGCCCCCGCTTACGCGATATTATTGACAGCTCAATGCATATTAATTGTGTGCATCCCATGCAGTTCCGGGGATGGAGTGAATGAATCAGCCCTTTCACTTTTGTTTTTTAGAACGAATTGCTCCAATAGGCATTTTTTTTTGGAGGCAGAAAATATACAAAAACAGATTCGCCTTCGCTGAATATATATCTCGTAACCAAATTGATATCTAAAGGGGCAAGGAAAGCTTTAAATCTACCCCTTGCAGCTGCTAGGTGTCGACAAACCGGGGGTACACTAAAGAAGCTCGTAGCGGTTTTGACAGGTCTTATTATTAACTAGGTAGCTGTCGACACCTAGTTAATAGAGGTGTAGATATTGGTGCTTCAATGGACCCTTTAAAAACGACATTGTACTTACCTTTCTTATATAATCATTTTTACTGCTGCAAACACCAATTCAATGAAATAAAAAATCCGATCATGGTTGAATAGAATGTTATTTTTCTCCCGAATACTTTTCATACTATTGCACATACACCACTCCCTCGATAATCCCATTGATGTCCTCCCTCAAAACCACCGGAAAAGTGCTTTGTGGCGCACGTCTTCTGCCCTGCCCCCTTCCCCCAACAAATCTAGACTCATAAAAACTTTTGCCCCCTTCCCCCCTCGAGGTAGATAGGATAATCCGGCAATATTAGTAGTACAAAATGGGGGAAATATCTATCACTCCTTAGCTCTCTCTCCCTCTCCTCTCTCTCTCTCTCTCTCTCTCTCTCTCTCTCTGTCTATTCCTTCTCCAACCGCTCTGACAAATCCTGGATGAAATTCTGCAATAATACCCTGGACGTTGAGCCTTTAAATCACTTCACGGTTGGCGGATATCACGTTTTAATTTGCAGGGATTTTGATAAAACTTCGGATTATCGAAAGATCCGTACCCTTTTTAGTTGAGACATCCGGAAACCGAGGAAATTCACCGCTACCGGCTTCCGGTTTCCGGTCAATTTTAGGGTAGGAGAAACGTGATATCAAACTCTGGGGCCTGAGGCAAAATGGCCCAGACTCTAGACATCTTTTGCCATTTATTATTTTTAGTTTAAATTTAATCGTATTTTCCTAACGCTTTTTATAAGTATCATAGCTCGTTTTAGCGGCCCAAAAATGGAAATAATCTTCGCATCCGATGCCGACATCTTGCGCCATATCGATATTGACATTGATATGTGGATCCAGCGTCGACCATCACTCTTTGATCCCGATAAGGATTTTCGTAGGTTTTGAAACTTAATAGAGACACAAGAAAAGAATTGCCTTTATCTGGCATAGAAAATCCAAGAGGCTTTATAAAACCTTGATTTAGGCCTGCTCGAGCAGATCTTCCGCCACGGCGTCGACTTTATCAACTACCAGTCGGAAAACATGATCAAAAAGGAGCCATTCCCGCTGACGAATCGAACATGGGTCGATCGGATTGAGCATCGGAAAGGTAGTTAATGACCGATTATACCCAAATATTTCCTTAAAGGGGCTACGAACTGCGAAATCAAAGCCCTTTTGGGAAGGTCTTAGATTTCTGGCAAATTGCCAGCGGGCGTTGCGGGACAAGAGCCCTCACTCTTTCGATTTTTGCGCGAAGTTGTTTTTGCCCGGTTTCTTTGTGAAAACACTATAATTCGCGCATTCTGAGCCCATTTTTGAAATCCACACTCAATTTTAAATCGTTTTTGGTGTTTTAATCATCAAATTTGGCCTAGAAACAGCCGAGAACGTGTTTTCGAGGTGACAACAGGCAGTTTCAAATTTTGCGAGCTTCCCGGCCCCTGGGCGTACAGAGGACTCCGACGTACAGGGCTCCGATTTTCGGGCCGTCACTCAATTCTTGGCATTTCGTAGCCCCTTGAAAAAGGCTCAAAAATAATTCTCAAGCTCAGGAATTTACAGTTATGCTTCACGGGTCACGCGTATGAGCACGAGCTTTTCCAGTTTCTCAACGTCACACTCTTTTCCAGAGTTTCTGTACTTTTTTGCCCAGAAATTCAATCCAAGATCACTGGCAAACACCCACTTCGTGGTAAACAGCTACAAATTAGGCGCCTAAAATGGGGTTAGCGGCCGGCCCCCGTGTTCCAGCGCAAAAACAATGATATCTACGTGATGCTTGCGGCATTGTGCTGAAAAAGTGCCGAGTGGTCAGAAATGCGCAGAATTCGGGAAAAACCACAAGATAAAATATCGGAAAATTTCTTTCACTTGAAGTCGAGATTTTTACAGTGGTGGCCCAACTCTATTGGTGTGACGGTGATACAAACTTTGAAACGGCCGAGAATCTGAAGACCCACTGCTCCGAGTCTTTCCAGCACATTACAAACTTCATCGAGCACAACCGCTTCAAAAAGCGGAAGAGCTATAAATATGCTGTGGTGAGCTAAAGCTTGCATTTTCGCACAGCGTACGTCAAACATAGTCAGCTTATTAGTTTGTTTTTTGGATTTTTTAGTTCTTTAATGGTTGGCTTTGTTTTTGCTTTGAAAACCCCTGAAAAATCATATTAATTTCTACAGCTTTTCGTTGCCATTCAAGCATAATTAGGCGACCAAGAAACTTAGCTTGCAGATTAATGGGAGAGCGCCAGCAAATTGCAGCATTTTTCAAGCTTTTGTGTAGCTCAAAAAACGTTTCAGCTGTTCGACTTCGCGTCGGGCGGTGTACCTGGCGAAGTCGCGGCTTCAATTCTGCTCGCCCAGCTTGCAAAGTATTTCACCGTTTCGGTAAGTCGCTGCTCAGAAAACGATCAAGAAGCCTAGCATGAGGTGATGCTCAAAAAGTAAGAAAAATTCCATTAAGATGATGTTCAGTAATTTCTCAAATTTCTCACTCGCTTTCTTTCACGCTCTCTCTCAATTCTCTCTCAACTCTCTCTCTCTCTCTCTCTCTCTCTCTCTCTCTCTCTCTCTCTCGCTCTCTCTCTCTCTATCTCTCTCGCTGTCTCACTCTCACGCTTTCAGTGGGATTCAGAAAATTCATTTATCCTAACTGGTTTCAGATGTGGATTTCCATCAAACAGTTCGTCATCCGCGTGAGCGATCACCGAGAAATGGATATCTTCAGGAGGTTGCTCAGGCTCGAGAAGTTGTCAGCAGATTTGGATGCTGATGTAAGATCTTTTTAGCACTCGAGAAATCGCTAGCATCTCCTCAAATATCCGTGCTAGTTACCCCTTGCTAACCACGAGAGAATACATCTAAAATCATGACTATCAAGACGAATCTTAGGTCCAACTTAAGCCGATACTAGCGTCACCTCCATTCTGCATTCTATAATCACCCCGGAAATTGAAAAACTACAAAATGGCTTCGGCCTGGCCGGATGAAACTTCCGCCTTTTTAGTGCACCTCAAAGTTCACATTTTCATGAGAAATCGGCCTAGAATCCGCTGTATCTTCATGAATCTGGTGACTAATTCACAGACGCGGAGCCACATCCTGGCAGCTTATGCCAAAAATTTAAGCTGACTTGGATGTTGTGGCGGGTACGACCAAAAGATGACTAACGGACGGAGAACTTAGTAATTTTTGAGTTTAATGCGTGACGATCGCGTTTTACGAAAGGGCAAGATAACAGAGACTCTTTAGGAAAAGCTAAAAAACGCATCTTTGCACGAAAACTTGTTGCGAGCTTGAAAAACGTCAAAAGCCAATTAAAGCCATTGAGAAGCTGTCTAAATTCAGGGCTTCACCCTCGGCATGGCGCAGCTTGCCGAATTCGACCACATGTACGCCGTTCACTCGCCCGTCGTCAAGCAGTACTTTCGTTCGAGACCCCGCGAACGATCGGCGTCGATGCTTCGCAGGGTGATGCACGGGATTACGGCTGGATTGTGGGTTTTCGCATGGCTAAACGCATGTGGCTGCAGAAGGTCTTCAAAATCTGCAAAATAAAACAGAATAAAGTAATAGAATCATCGATCACGACATGAAATTTAAAGTACCATTTCAGGGTATCCGAAAACCCGCCGCCTTCCAACTCGGCCAGGAAAAAGTAAGGATTTTAAATACCTTCCTGTAGAATTTGTTTTTAGGAGTGGTCGACAGCGCAGGATGTCCGTACCTGAACTCCCGGAAAATAAAGTCATCCAACCGGCACTCAGCTACAAAAGGAAGCCGGAGCTGGAGAGGAACAACTCGGTTAAACAATGTGCGTTTTACAATTTTATTTATGCGCTTCAACATTTTTCATGTCCTTATAAAAAACATAGAATCCATGACTTTAACAAAAGACGAAAAAAAGCTTCTGTTTTAGTACTCCATCGCGTTGGTGCAGCTTCACCGTTGCTGAGCAAGCGATTTTTGACCCGCAGGCGAGGTTAGTGCAGGAAAAATCAGTTTGCAAGCTTCAACGATTGTCAGAGCAAAATACAATCCCTATTTAAGGCTATCAAACCTTAGGTATACAAATTTAATCATGTACTTTCCGAATTAAACACAAAAACCGACAATTTCAGACAAATCGGAAAGTCCTCGCAACGCCGTCCCGCTCCAAAATTCGATTGAAAGTACGGTAGACTGTGCCGTATCAATTCTGCCGAATGAGCTCGAAAATAGGTACGCATTTAAAGAAAAAAAATCAAATATATTCAATTTGCAGTAACCCTGGAGGCCCTCCGTACTACAATTCACTTGAAGACGGTCGGAAACTGTCGGTGCGTATGGCCCGTCCGCACACTCCTATTGACGGTCGTTAAAAAAAGATTTTGTAGATACATCGTTTTTTATCTCGGTTTGTTACTAGATCTCGTAATCTTGTGATCTCCACTTAATTCATACTTCTTGTAAATAAAGTCCGCAGTACATTTGGAACCGTTTATTTTTATTCGAGAGACCAAGCGAGAGAGAGAGAGAGAGAGAGAGAGAGAGAAAGCGAGAGAGAGAGCAAGAGAGAGAGAGGAAGAGCAAGAAAGAGATATATAGGGCTGGTAGCTTTTAAAGTATCGTATCTGAAAACTGTTACCCATTTTCGCGAAATGACTCATCCAAAGTACAACAAGACCAAAAACAAGGCTCCGACAAAAATCGTCATAAACGAGCGGAACCCTCGTGGCCGCCGGGCGGATTAACTACGACGAAATGACTGGATCAAGTGAATGGTGGCAGGTTTCCATTGTTCCGCGTGATCAGTGGTTCGCTAGAGGTAAGCAGAGGTACATTCAACACCTCTCAAACACGTCGAACTTTAGAGGGACTGTGAATTCAAGGAGCGGCATTTAAAATTGGCATTTAGCACGGTACGGTACTCAATTTTGGCTAGCCTCAGTGGATCTAAATTGTACCATTTTGTTAAATAATTGCCCTGCTCTGCGGAAACCCGATTAAACCAATTACGACATCAAAATGACGCGATTTCAAGGTAATGGTTGAGAAAAGGGGGGCCCCAAGGGTACACCATGCGGAGAGCAGACACAAGGGCAGGCACCCTGGGGGCGGCCAATGGTGGTTGGGGCACCCTTTAGGCGGCGACCGGCGGCCAAAAGAGGCTGGAGGCCGCCGGGCAGAGACGCAGAGAACAGAGAGGGTCTCTGGGCTCTCCACCCCCCGTCCACTCTCTCGCCTCTCCCATCCTGTTCCCGCCCGACGAACCTTTTTCTTAGTATTCTGAACGCTGTGAATCTGTATTATTTTTCTACCGATATCTTTTATGGCGAATGCAAATCCCTGTTCTTCGCCGTTTCCCACAGCTCCATGTCGAGATCTGCATTTCTGAGCGGCGCGATGATACAACAATCCCCCTGTGGATGGTCCATTATCTCTCATGTCCACCCAGTCTAAACATTGGCCAGCCATGGGAAAGGGTCGACCGGAAAAGCCGATTGGTAAAAGTGGGCACCCGGGGTGATAGATTGGATGATCCCAAGTGGATGGAGAGCAACTGGAAAAAATGGAACGAAAAATGGACCTCGTGCTTTTGTGCCGGCTGTGCAAAAAGCGGTGATCTAAAATGGATTGTCGTGGGAAAGAGAGGAGGAGGAGAGAGATGGAAAGAGCGAGAGAGTGAAAGAGAGGTGGAGAAAGCGAGAGAGAGTGAGAAGGAAAGAGAAAAAGAGAGAGAGAGAAACGAGAAAGAGATAGAGAGAGAAGAGAGAGAGAGAGCGAGCGAGTGAGCGAACGAGAAATCTAAACATTAACTTTTGAGACGCTGTTACCTCCCATACCTAAAAAATTTACGTTGAATTTAGCCGAAAATCTACAAAATTTTGAAACGATCGGACTGCCGCTAACTTTCAAACCAGCACGCGCATCTTTGTTTGCGTCATCCCGGAAAGAAGCTTCTTTTTCGCCTCATTACTGAACAAACAGTATCATATTGGCGCACTATGGCCCGGGTCATGGGGGTCGGTCTTTCAAGCGCTAGGAGAAGGGGAGGTATGGGGCGTACTTTAAAAATGCGTCCCGTGCTGCAGGGTTTCGTCATTACTTGTTTTACTGTGCTTGCAAGTATCTGATACCTCGACTGGTACTGGTTACTCTATTAGTTTTATTAGAGCCGCTTTCCAATCACTAATGCTTCAAAATAGGTTTTTGCTCTTCTGAGGCACGTCACCCTGCAAATTTGCACAGATACCCCCGACCGGGGTCCTTTCCTGCAGCTTTTCCTAGAGGGTTTTCCGGCATTTCTTGCCCTCGCCCTCCATTCCATCAAATCGTGGCTGATCGAAAGGAGGGACGCGAGGGGATTGTCTTATCTATCGAGTGCCCACCACACTCCCAGGGACCCTCCCAGACTTTCGGCCAAATGCACAGCACAGAGTGACCCCTCACCCATCAAAGAACTTTTGCAAATACGATAAATAGCCGGTTTGACGTGGTATCTTAAATCGTCCCGGAAATACGTGACATTTTTTTGCGCTTTTATAAGCCTAAAATATTCTAGTCCACACCCTGGACAGTACGTATGTTTACAAAGTACATTTTACAAGTGCTTTGCCTGGCCGTTTCCGCATTTCACACATTTTTCTCCACTCCTCAGCAGTGTTCTCTCTCTCTCTCTCTCTCTCTCTCTCCCTCTCTCGTCTCTCTCATATGGCGTAATTTGATTCCTCGTGAAGCTTCGTAAACAGCTCACGAAACGAAGAGCCGTAACGGACGATTCCCGGAAAATCAAAATTTTGCAGCTTCCTGATCTTCTTAAAATTTTATTCCATACGTTATTGACTCTGAAAAGCGTCGCGAATACGAATGGCGTTCCCATGCCCATTCATCCGTCGCCTCAGCGCAATGCCCAAAAAAAGGCCTTGGCATTTCGGATAACCTCCAGGCTTCTATCACTCGTTAAGCTTTTGTTGGGTCCGTTATTATGTTTCCAGATACCTTTAAAACTGTCTTGCGCTTCGAAATAAAGGGTACTTTAGTCCGGCGAACTGTAATCGACTATTTTCTGCCTAAAGATCGTTCGAAACGAGATCACGAACCCAGGAATTCTGTTAAAAAGTACCCAAGTTTCTGTTGACCCCCCCGCCTCTTTAAAAAAGAGAATAAGGCTGAAAACCTATCCATAAATTTCCAACGCGTTTTTATGACAAAAGATTATGCCTTCTTCTTCCCTTTAAAAAGTATTCCCGGGCTTTCGGTGCCCATAGTAGCATCGAGTCTCCATTTGCAAAAACCTCCGAAATTGGCATGGCCATGGCCATGGCTGCGGGTGGCCTTTCAATCCAGGACCCCCGGCTGAAAATGCGCTGTCTGACCCATTCCGCCTTTTTCCTCTTTCCAGCCTTTTTTTTCTGCCATCTAGGTTCTCCAGAATTTATGCGCTCTCTCCTCGGACTTGGCATCGGGCCTGGCTGGCCCCAATGCACTTACCCTCCCCCGCGGCTGAGTCCGAGCCACCCCTATACACGGTGCCCAGGGCCCGCATTTTTAATTTTAGGCCAGTGGCCTTTTTTCTAGCCTGGTTTACTATCGATTTTGACACAATTTTTTGTATATTTTCCATTTTTTACCTATTTACACCTTCTGAACGGCTTGAAACGCCTATCATTACGCCATGTAATGGACGTTGTGCTTTGGAATATGTCGTTGAAAAAAACGCCTACGCACTGTTTTAGCTTTACAGCTATAATACCGTATTTTAAAACAGTATAAGATTCATTATTAATTATCTAAGCAATGATTTGGCCATGAAATTCCGTGTTTAGACGTGGGTAGCAGTGTCGCGTATGCGGCTACTTTGTCATTTTGTAGCTTCTAAAGTAGTTTTCAAATTTAAAAGTCTTTTCCCGTGTTAAAATTGAAATGCCATCTGCCATTACGCTATGAAATCCACCCTGCGCTTTGGAAAGTCGCGAAACCGATTTACCCTTTTCAAAAAGACTTACATCGTACTTGAAAACGATTTTTAAGCAGTTTCATTTTAAAAGAATAAGTATCTAGTTTTTAAATTATCCTTATGGATTTGTTTATTTATCATCAATACTAAATTATTTCCGCTACGTTGCGATTGTCGATCGCGTTTTTCCGCTTTTGCCGCTTTTTTTTTCCTACAAATATATTTTTTTCTGTCGAAAAGCCATTCGTTTTTGAATCTTGGTTTTTCCGAGTACACTCACTATTTTTTGCGGATGAAAGGACTGTAGAAGAACAGCAATAAATCTCTGGGGGTGCTGACCGATGGAATGAGAAGGACATGTGTGGGTTAGGTGGAGAGATAAAGATCGACCCTGTTGCCTCTTTCTTTTCTTCTTTCTTTCTATAGCCCAGACACCTTTCTTATCTCCATGTACTCGCCGGCCAAGTTTGTGGAAGGAAACGCTAATATTTGGGTTTGCATACCGGAAGGTTTTAGGTTTTGAGCTGTTTTTTTTTTGATTTTCCTGAAGCGTAAAAACGATATTTTCTTCTACAGATTTTCGTTACGCGCTAAAAATAAGAAAATTTAATTTGTTTTTAGCTGCTTAAATGCCTAGTAAATATTTCCCGGTTAGGAATTTATTTAGAAAATCTGGGGTTGAAATATTCCCATTAATGGGAATGCATTCCCAAAGATCCAATTATTTCCCAACGAAAGCAGCAATTAATTTCTGTTTATACGCGCGCCGCGCGAAAACCCCCCGCTCGAAAAGGCCCTAGGATTTTGCCGGGAATCCTGGTCAACAACGCTGTTTTGCTGGCTTTTCGAGGAGGGCGCCCCCTATTTAGTGACCACAGCTGCGCCTATATGGATTTTTCAAGGTTGCAAGGATCTTCCTTAACCCTTATGATTTAGAAAAGCACGCAATAGCATTTTTAAAAGTTTCGGAATGGTTTTTCAAAAACATTTTTCTTTTAAAGGCTTTGAAATGGTGTTATAATCCTCTAGATCTTACAAATAGATTTTTGGGTTCTCTAGCGAGGTTCAACAAATGTTTGCACAGCGTTCGATATTCTGCAAGGTGCCAAAAACGCCTGGGGCGGCGCATCGTCACGCGCTCTGCCCTTCAAAGATCAGCCCTCCCCCTTTTCGTACATCATTTGAACGTGTTTCTTGGTCATCAACCTCCCCTTCACTAATGAAGGAGGTACACAGCAGATGTGTAACTTAGTACACAGACTTAGTCGAACGTCAAGAATTTTTAATTATACCATCTTAAGCTTTACTTCTGTACCCCTAAACATGGAATTCCACCGAATTCCACCGGCTAAACCAATTTGCCTTATTTCCACGTTATCGCGCCCACCCTATGCATTGTCTTTTTTAACTTAGACGCGCAAACGCCCAAGTTTCCGCTGCTGAACAGGTCCTATTTTTCGCGCTGATCTAAAAAACGCGTCTGTCGAATCCTGATGGCCATGATTCACCCGATTTAGTCCTAAAGGCACCGTCGTTTACACTAAATTTGCCCGATCTCCGTCTAGACCACAACATCTGGCGGCGCAAAATATGTAAATTTAGCCCCTCTCCCCGCTAGATCGTGCCCCAGATCTGTACTTTTCGTCTGCCCAATCCAAAATAGCGTCTATAGGATGCAGCTGGTCATGATTCACCCAAATTGGTGCCCGAAAATGTTTACCAGATTTAAATCTCCAACCTCGGTACCCCTAAACATGTACTTTACCGTCTGCCCCTGGTCAAAAAGCCATCCAGGGACGGTGGGAATCGCCATTGACTCATCGGACGGAGGGCCAGAAAGCGCTAGAAAAAGGGCATCTGGTGGGAGTGTCTAGGCAGAGCAGGAGGAGGAGGAGCTGGACGGGGGCCATGTCCACGACACGGCCCCCGCTAGCAATGTGGTACGGTATAAAAGGGTTGGCTGGCCGGTGGACCGGTCAGTCTGGCCCTCACTAGCTTTTGAATCCCCCATACGAAAAGCCCAAGTCTAAGTCTAAGCTAAGCCTAAGCAAAGCCTACCCTAAGACTATGCTAAGCATATGCTTAAGCTATGACTAAGCTAAGCCTAAGATAAGCCTAAGCTATGCCAAGCCTATGCCTGAGCTTACATAGTTTTTTTGGTACGTTTACAAACTGTAAAGCTTATTAAACCCGAGATACCTCGAAATAGCCGGCCCTCTGTTCTGTTCCCAGCCATAAACCTCGTTGACCCATCGCCGGGGGCCTCCTTCTGCTCTCTTATCAATGTTGCCGGCTCCCGACGGTCAAAAACCCACTCCCACGATCTTGTTCTTATTCCGGTCCCAGTTCTTTTCTAAAAACTTAAAGCTAGATTTTAAAAGACTCAGCAATAAATAAATAGCGAAATCCACCCTAAACTGCTACCATCTTACTAAAGTTTGGGTTGATTACTGAGCGCTTTGAACTAGTGCGGCATGAATGTTGCTACATTTGCTAAATTTCAAAAAGGCCGATGAGTGCATAAAGTCTTCCGAACAATTTGATGCCAACCATCCCAGAAGGCCATCGGAAGCCCTCTTTTACACTGTCGCTCTGATATCACCCTCGGCCATCAGCTTCTATCTTCCAGATTTTTCGCTGATAGACCCCCTTTTAGCACTGAATCTATTCCACTTTTCTTGAAGATACATCATATGCTATTTACAGAGTTTTAGCGGCTTTCTCTACCCCGATTCAGGTGACATTTTTGTTGCATTTTTGACGATGCGGAAAAGAGGAAGAACTTGATTTTGTCCATGATTTCCCGCTTCGGTTTCTGGAGACTGTAACAAACTCATAAACCCCGGACTGAATTGATTTATTCCGCCCACCGTTCGGCTTTTCCTTGACGTTTACGACCGGTGGCGGATTGACATGCCGCTTTATCGCTAGTTTTCGAGCACAAAGTCTCAGATTTGAAAATATCGTTTCGTTTTTAATGCTGGTCACTATCCCTATTTTATAGTCTAGAAATCTCGTTAGTAAAATTACATTTTGATGACCTCTTTGCGGTTTTCTGTGAAACTTCGGACAATTTTCGGCTTTTCGGTTGGATTCTTTCGATAATTCTGTCCTACCAGGGCTCAATTGCACATCTTTTTCTCTATTGATATCAGATACCCTATATTTAGAAAGGCTGTCTTCTATTTTCTATGAATTTTTGCCTTATTTCCATTTAATATGATCCTTTTTTCAGCTAACACCATGGCCGACGCGGAGGCGCCGTCTCCCTCGCCGAGACGCAATGAGGAGGAGGATGAGAAACGTCAGTTTTTCTTGCTTTTAAAAGAGGACCTCACGCCGGAAATTTGAGTATTCTTGTAACCATAGCACTGTTCTTAATTTGCTTTAGAAAAAGACCTAGGCGCGAGAACGCTGGTTTTCTTAACAACTAATTCCTGGTATCATGGCGCTGCTCTTTATTTTGCTTACAAACCCCTAGACCCTACAAAACGCAACTATTTGAAAGACGCAACTTTAGACGTAACATTTTTTTAAGTAATGAAGAGTTCCTGCGAGTCTCTCTCCCCTTTTTCATCGGAGATCCGCCCGATCCCATCAATTATCACGATCGCGCGGTCTCGCACAACGCCCCGACGATTCTCCAAAATCGTTCAGTCGTCGCGGCGTTCCGAAATTAATTTTATTTTGGCTAGGGCAGCACCAATTTTACTGGACTTGTGAGGTCCAGTTTAAGGTATGGGAAGTTAGGTTTTTAATAGTTAAACCATCGCTAGAGCTTAAAAAGAACATTTTTTTAAAAGAAAATGAATTACGGGATTTTTAACGTCCAGAATGAAAGATTTGTTGTTTAGAAACCGGCGGTTTCGTAAAGTTAAAACTGCGCCTGGAACTGGCGAATATAGTAGTCAAAACCGCCCCTATAAATTGAAAATAACATTTCGCTTTTCAGACAGAGAAGTGGAGCCCTTCCTGAAACATGAGAGCGCCCCGGTCGACAAGAACAACCTCGTCTACCTGATCGTGCTCTTCCATGGAATCGGCACGCTCATGCCGTGGAACATGTTCATCACCATCGCCGACTCGGTATGCTTTTGCTGCCGTTCCCCTGAATTTCCGTGCGATTTTAGTACTTTGTCAACTACAAGATGATCGGCGAAGGCGGTAAGAACTGGTACTCGCTGAACTTCATGTACTTCCTCGGCATCTTCTCCCAGCTGCCCAACCTCATCCTCAACCTCATCAACATCTTCGTCCCCGTCAAGTGAGTTTTTGGAACCAAGAGGCTTGGCATCATTCTCTCGGAAAACTCGGAAAGGCTAGAAATGCAAGAGAAAGACGTTTTGTCGCGTTTTTTGTACAAATTAGCTGTATTTGTAATGTAGAAACTTTTTAGAAATTTGAAAGGTCATAGCGAATCGTGTTCGAATTTCATCGACGTCGAAAAATCGATATTTTTCTATTCTATGTAGGAAATTTTTGCGTTCAGCGGCTGTAAAAACTCTTTCTTTTAACTTCTAAAAGGTTTTTGAAACTTAAAACTCAGAAAATGTCGAATATGTGGCATTTTTGCTGCAAAAATCGATGTTTTTATGGTTTTGTATAAATTTCAATCTTTTTGCGTTTGGAAATCGTAAAAAGGTGTCAAAACACATTTTCTATACAAATACCTTTGTTCAGAGGCGAACTAACCCCCAGAATCACCATCTCACTAACAATCGTCGGCGCCGTCGTCGCGTTCACTGACCTCTTCGTCTTCATCGATACGGCGGCGTGTGAGTTTGTTATAATAATAAAACTGTTTTATAAATAAAACCAGTGGAAAAAGACCGTGTAGTAAAGACGGATAGTTTTCAATGTGAAAATTGAAATTTTTAATGAAATATTGATAATTTACGTTTAGGGATCCCCGGTTTCTTCTGGCTGACGATGATCTCGATCGCGGTGCTGAACGGCGCCAACGGCATCTACCAGAACTCGATCTACGGGCTCGCGTCTGACTTCCCCTTCAAGTACACCAACGCCGTCGTGATTGGCAACAACCTATGCGGAACCCTTGTCGCTATTTTTGCGATTTTGGCTGTTTTGGGTTGGTTTTTTCGGTGTAAAAGTAGTTTCTGCTTTTTAGCCTTTCGAAAAATAGCAGATTATTGATTTTTAAAGCTGTTTTTGCTATAAAATGCATCAACTTTTTTGGCCCTGAAAATCGTAGATTTTATTAATTTTTAACTATCTTTAGTCACCGACAACAAGGCCTACCAAGCCTTCGGCTACTTCACCGTCTCGCTGCTGACCATCATCGGCTGCCTGTTCTCCTTCTTCAAGCTCAAGTCGCTGGTAAAAATTTGAATTTGTCTTTAAAAACTCGTTTTCAGCGCTACTACCAGTACCACAACGAGCTCGGCAACGCCAACCGCGCCAAGGACGACAGCGGCCCGGCCAGCTTCAACGACTATTTGGAGACGCTCAAGCAGGTATGCTTATAAGCTTGAAATTTAAAATTTGAAGATGTTCTGACGCTCAGAAAGTTTAAAATTTCTTTTTTTAGGGCTGGCCCCAGTTCATGAACGTGTTCCTCGTTTTCTTCGTCACGCTGACGATCTTCCCGAACATGATGGTTTTCATCAACCCGCACACCGTCGTCCCGGGCCCCAACGGCACCGCCGAGCTGCACTATGACTTCATTCTGCCGGGTATAAATAAGTACAAGAACGGACTTATTTTTTTTTCTTTAGAAAGCCAGTACATGAACTTCTGCGTGTTCCTGCTCTTCAACATCTTTGCCTTCTTCGGCAGTCTGACGGCCAACTACGTGCAGGTATGAACTGCTTGAAGCTTTCGGAAAATCACTGTTTGTACTTTACTTTTGAAAACGTTGCGAATTGTGTAAAAGTTTTAAATTGTGGTGGAGATTCGAGTCCGAATATCGAATTTTTGTATTTTCGTAGAAAATTGATCTTTTTGCGTTTAGAAAGGTCGAAAAAATCTGGAAACAGCCGTTCTATTTATAGTAGGAAAAGGTCCTCTCGAAAAGCCCCCCCCCGATACTGCAAAAGATCCAATTTTAATTTCCAGTTCCCATCGCACGAATACCTGTGGATCATGACGTGGGCCCGCGTGCTGTTCATCCCCTTCTTCATGTACTGCAACTACTACCCGCTGAAGCGCACGCTCGCCGTTTTGTGAGTTATAAATTTTGGGCGATATTATGTTTTTTCTAGCTTCCCCTCCTACTACACCTACATCGTCGGCGCCATCCTGATGTCGTTCACCTCCGGCTACTTTTCGTCGCTCGGCATGATGTACGCACCGAGGGTGGTCGACCCGAGCCGAGCCCGCATCGCCGGCATGATGGCCGCCTTCTTCTTGATTTTCGGTGAGAGATTTTAGACGTATTATGGACGTATTTTGTTGCGTAGCGTAGGAGGGTTGGTTCAAAATGATAGTTATACCGTGAATTTCTGCCCAACTTTATGTACTTCAACTGCTATGAACCCCCGCCGTTTTGCTTTGCAAAAATTGGGGTACTGGTCTTTTAGCAGGGGAGGGCAGGAGCTATATGGACTTTTCTTATCTAGCAATTTTTTTGGCTTTCTATAGTGTATTTTCATGGTTTGTTTACTAGTGTTAATTTCGGAAAAATCACAAGGAATTTTTTAGCAAATTTCAAGACATTGGCAATTTCGAAAATGTTGCCTTTTTTACGAATTTAGGAGTTTTCAAAACGGCGTGAAAGTTACGTGAAAAATATTTCCTGGCTAGGTATTGCTATCATTTTGGTTCAACCATCCTTTGTTAAGATAGAGGCGATTTTTAGTGCACGCTGTCCGGTACTTGGAGCATTTGTTCAACCCGAATTTCAGGAATCGTCTCCGGCCTCTTCTTCACGATGTACGTGCCACGGTTCGTCGGCGCCTAAACGCGGCGAAACTAACCTAACTCCCCATTTTCTAACATTTCCCCCATTTTTTTGTATTCAGTGACACTGCATTTCCATGACCCCTCCCCCTCTCCGAGATCTAATTTTGCACAAGGTTGCCATTTTTCGACGTTGTTGTTGAGACTTTGCTCACTTCGCCCCCGAGGTATTTTTTGCTAGCCCCACCTCAAAAATCGTTAAAGGGACCGGGAAGTCAGGATTTTTATGGATTTTCGATGGATTCTTTAGATTTTGAAAACTCTCTGGCTTTTCAGTCCCCTTAAAAATACTCAACCGTGTTGCCAACGCCCCCTCCTATCCACTTATGCGCATTTTTTCACTTTTTATATCTTTTTGGTCAAAATAGTGCCTTCCTCGAAATTCAAATGTCTAACCATACATATTGCCTTATGCCTTTCTGTCGATCAGCCTCTCTCTCTCTCCTCCCTCTCCGATAAGTGGTGCCTTAATCTGCCATTCACTTTTTGTGAAATTGTAATAATTTCCACGAGGTCACAACTAACAGCTAGAGCCCCCCGTTCTCTTTTTCTAGAACACTGACTGGATATTTTTCACGTGAATAAAGTGAAAATGGAAATGTGCCTGCAATTTAAGAGACGAGAGAGAGCGAGCGGGTGAGACAAAGATAGAGAGAGAGCGAGTCAGTGAGACTGAGATAGAGCTAGAGAAAGAGCGGGTGAATGAGGGAGAGAGAGCCAGACAGACAGACACAGAGATAGAGGCGTACGAGCAAACACCCTTTGGGAATTGCACATTTAGAAAAAACTACGGAAATACACATTTTCTGGCTTCCGAAGAGAACCGGAAGCTATCAAAAGTACGTTATTTGCATTTTCGGGCCAAATTTGTGAAAAAACCCAAAAAATGAAGACGCTTTACCATTCCTAAACTTTCTCCTCCTCCTCCTCCTCCTTCTTCTCCTCTTCCTCCCCGTCACGATGTACTGGATGAGGCCGAAGATGTGAGAGCGGATTGGTTATTTTGGATTTCTTCTTAGCCCGCGCGCCCCCGTCGCCTACAACGACGTCTTCATCGTCGCGCCCAAGACCGTTGTCAGGAGCACGAAGAAAATGTGGGATTTTGGGAGTAGCTCCGAGGTATCTGATAGAGAACATTAGGACCCATTTTGTGTGGTAACCCGGTTTTTGCGGCGATGCGCGCTTTTTTGGGTGTTTTCGTGCTTAGGAAATGGGGGGGGGGGCAGGCTAGCCGAGATTCCTATGGAAAGGGCAGGCTCGCAGAGACTATTCAAAAAAGGGGTATCTAGCAGAGAAAATGTGATCAATATTCGGTACTGGACTGTTTGCGGGGGACTTTCAGCAGGGGAAGACTGATTTTTGTTTTTCCGTCTACACCTAGCGGCCAATAATAATTTTAATAATAATCAATAGTTTGTTTTTGCAATGTTTTTAGGAGGTTTGATTGCTAGAACTAATAAAAAATTTATTAAGCGCCTTTGAAAAATTCGAAGATTCTTTTTGGCCATTTTCATGTATCTTAGACCAAAAATGTCAAAGTTTCAAAAACTACAGCCCATACAGGATTACGGGAAACCCCCCCTGCTAACAGCCCAGTACCAGAGAAACTGGCAGCCAGGGGCTAGGAACCGGCGCCGAAATCCGGATCAGAATACTAAATTTGTTTTTCAGGCCTCGCAACAACACGATCTGGGTGATGTTCGAGGGCAACCAGTGGACGGACGTGGTGATGAGCATCGGATGGGATGGGGAGGACAAGCAGAAGCTGTTCAAAGTGCGCAGCGTATGGAACAAAGCTTCGAATTTGAAACTCGATTATCTTCTAGAGTCAGCCGCGCTTCGACATACCGTACTACGACAACAACTCCACGACGGCCCGCCTGAAGCTAGTCATCCAACGTGATCAGGCCATTCAGACGACGCTCTTCTCGAAATGGCTACAAGTACCCAGTTTTCGCAGTTTTAGGACGATCTTAGGTATCAAATTCCATCCTCCCGGCACCGCTGAAAAATGGGGATGAGGTAGATAACGAATTACAGCTTGAACTCGCTGTCTAGGTCATTTTCGAGGCGGCCGACGGGCGATATTTCGCTATGGACTACCTGATCACTTTGAGCCACCAGCCGGCGGTGATCACGATGTGGAGTGGTAGTCGAGAGGGTTTTACCTTGAAAATGTTCTGTAGAACCGGCCACTGAAGAGCTGGCCGATCTCGAGGTGGACGACTCGGTGACGTTCCAGAGGATGGGCGACGAGCACCACCCTTACTACGATGTTCATCTACGGCAATTGCATTTGAGGAGCCAGGTAAGATCTCTCTCTCTCTCTCTCTCTCTCTCTCTCTCTGCCTCACGCTCTCTTTGTCTCCGACTCTCACATCCTAAGTTCAGCCTCGTCGCCAGCTGAACCTCCTCTACTCGGGGCTGAAGGCAACATCCTGCCGATGGGCATTCACCGGCTGATCATGTGCGAGAACGGGAGGCTGTCCACCGAGGTAGACCTCCCATTTTCTCTTCTACAGGGTGTCCAAAAAAAAATCGACCCCCCTCTAGCGGACCGCAGAAAGCTCGGATTGGAATGATTTTCACACCATTCGAAAGCCCTTCAAACGGTGAGAAAACAAGCGCCTTTGGTTTTCCAAAAAATTTTAGCCTTCGCTCGATATTCAATGATTTCTGTAAAAAGCGTAAAACCAGCATCGTCCTGTTTGCTTTAGCAAGCAATTAACATGCCGATTTTGCATAAAATCTGCAGTTTTCATCGATTTTGGCCCTAAATTTAATGAATTAAAATTCCCATATTGAAAAACGAAAAGTGCTTGTTTTCTCGCCTTTTCGAGTGCTTTCGATAGATACCTAAATCGTCAAAATCTGACATGACTGCGGCCCGCTAGAGGGGGGGTCGATTTTTTTTGGGACACCCTGTATGTAGATGTTCATAGCGGTTTGACGCGCCCGATCCAACGCCGGCTGTCGACTTCCACATACATGCCGTCGTCGTGGTGCGTGGTATTTAACAAAACAATAAAGCGACTGGGAACCAAAATTTTTTGCTATTGGCCGTTTCGCACTTGTTCAAGACGTTCGGCGGCTTTACTTACCGCAAAATCAAACATTTTCAGACGAAGTTCTCCCTCAACTGGACCGAGCAGACGCGTAGCGTGGAGTTGCCCTTCGAGATTGACCTGGTCGACGACGGCTGCCTGCAAATCGTGGGCAACTACACGGAGCTGCACGTCTACGAGAATGTCGGCCGGCTCGATAGGGAGTCACGGTGGGGCAAGGGATTTACCGCGGGTTTCCGAGACACACAACGTTCCGGCGTCGCGTCCCCGAAATGGGATGCAGAACGTCTTGATCATTTTTGATCATCAGCAGCAGCGTAGTGAATTTTCTTTCCTCGCGTTTAGGGCCTGAACGCGCGCTTTTTAACAACACACAACGCGCACGCTATATGCGTCGCGGTGCGCCACGTCTATCAGCCTAAGTTCCGCAGCGCGACAGCGACGTGTTCACCAACAAATCTCTTTTCCTGAAACCCCCTTCAAGATACTTGAAAACCCAACTCTTACAATTTTGGCGGAACCGTCACTTTTTCAGAAAAGTCGCCGGCGACCAGACGACCACGACCTATTGGCCTCCGGAGTGGACGCCGTTACGCGTCGAGACCCTGGTCGGCGACCTCTATCGTATGGTCACCCCCATTGAACTGTCGATTGATGGTCTCCAGTGGAAGCCGGACGTCTTCTATGACGTCACGGTACGTTTGTTGCTATTCACGCTGTTAGCCTCAATGTTCGGTTCTAAGCTATTAACGGGGGGGGGGGGGGGGGAACTCGAAAGATACTTGTCGTATATACCTAGCAAAGGGTAAGGGGGGGTAAATTAACGTATTCCTGATCTCATCATTTTGACCTTTTAGAAACTCTGCCTGATCCCCACCCGCCAACCACCGTACGAGACGATTCGCCAGGAACTGAACGACACCGATGATATGCTGCTCGCCGAACTGGCTGAAGTTGAGGAGGATGAGGAAGGATACGATGACTTCCTCGATGATCTTTTCGACGAAGAGTCCGAGCACGACGCCGAGCAGTTCGACTGCTAGAACCAATGTTATTAATCGTCCGCTGAACTGCATTAATTTTCTTCTTCTTTTGTGATTAACAAATTCGGGTTCTGTGTTTCTTTATTGATTATTTTTTTGTGTCCTTGGGGTTTTGTGATTAAACTTTAAGCAATGTCTTTCCGAACTCAAGCCTGTTTCATGCGAATACAGCCTTCAGTTCTGGACGAGAATAAAAACAGAGAGATCGAGAGAGCGAGATAGAGAGAGAGAAAGCGAGAAAGAGAGCGAGTGACCGAGAGAGAGAGAGCGAGAGAGAAGGATAGAGAGAGAGAGAAAGCGAGAGAGTGAGAGTAAAAGCGTTAACGAGAGTGAGCATCGGAGAGCGGGGAGACTGAGCGTGTAGTGGGCGTCAGAGTGGGAGAACGAGAGAGAGAGGCTAAATGAGACTGAGATGCGGCTTGAGCGAAAGATAGATTGTTGAAATTATTGACCTTTCTCACTTTGCAGCTTTTATGATCTTAGATTTTTATTAGCTTCGAACAAGGTTCAGGGAACCTAATAAAACATTCTAAGTGTCGGAAATTCAATAATTTTTCCTGGCTCCTTAGAAAGTGGCGGCATTAAGCGGGGGTGTATACCCAAGCCGATAAGCAACGTTGCAAAAATCGCCTGAAAAAAAACACAATTTCCGGTCAGTAACACCACCGGGAAAAAGGCCACCACCACAAACACAAGGTTCAGAAAACAGACGGCCCGATGAGAAATCAGCGTCTGATTTCCCAATCCATCTCTCTGCCACCTCACCTGCCAAGCCACTAAAGCAGCTTATTGGCTTTCCCGCCTTCCAGCCTGCCCCCTTCCGTCCATCCGGGCCAGAATAAGCCAAATTGATCGTTGGAGAGCGAGAGAGAGAGAGAGAGAGAGAGAGAGAGAGATAGATAGAGAGAAAGGAGGTCGTTTATACACAGCGACCCTCAGCTTTTCCGCTGACCCGATAAGGCTTGAATATTTTCTCGAGGCCCTTTGCTCTCTCTCAGCTCATCAAATTGCCTTGAGGGGCGATTCGTCACTTTCGCGGCAACACTACGAACGATACGATTGAAAAACGATCTGTGGCCATGCCGAAGAGCGCTAATTTTCTATTGTTCTACCACTTTTTAACGGCCTTTTTGATTGGGCAGGCGGCTGCTGCGGATGATGATGGCGGAGCAGTCCGTGGGTTGTTTAAAGTCTTGTTCTGAATTTTTTAATTAAAGTTATTTCTCTAAATATAGCAACCGGTATGTGAAGCATACGATGAAACGTCGAAAAATAGATTTCCGGGCAAATTCCATCAAGTCAACAAGGTTTCTTTCACGACGCCTCTCTCTATATCCCTCCTCTCCTCTCTTTCTCTCTCACGCTCTCTCTCCCTCTCTCTCTCGCTCTGTCTCTCTTTCGTCTTTTCTCACCTCTGTGTGAGTAGCGATTTCGATACAACTGTAGAAAACAAAAAAAAACTCTGAAAAATATCGACCTGAAAACAATCACTTTTAGGCCTGATCATCATAATCGTAATCCCCACCCTGGCCATCACTGTCATTTGTATCGGCTGTGTAGTCGTCGGGATCAAGAGGACGCGAAATTCCGGCAATAAGTGGTGGCGGGTCTACGGTGATGCAAGGACTGCGGCACCAAGCCAGGGAGATGCAACTGATCCGAATGTGTACGGCATTCGTATTCAGACGTAAAAATCGCTGTGTATTTTAGGAAACTGGAGATGACCGTGGCGCAGATGAACACTTATATGGATATAAAATCGTTGGCCGAACAGTTTAAGTAAGTAAAAAAAAGCTAAATTTACAAAAAGTCGGCTTGGAGAAATGGAAGATCTGAAATTGAATGTGATATTGACAGCTGCTCGTTATGTCAAACTCTTCCGAACTGTTTAGCGCAAATTCGGCTTGTGTGTGCGTCTTTTTTGGCCCCAACCCTTGGTTAACAAGAGCTAGACGATAGAGGGTAGACTATCGAACTTCCAAGCACCTTTAAAGCCGTCTAGTTGTCCCGAAAATATTACAGTAAGCATCTGTACCTCCTTTCCATTATAGAAAAGACCGCTGGGAGATCCAGACGAAAAACCTGTTGGTGCATGACGACTGCCTGGGCAATGGAGCTTTTGCATCGGTGTATCGAGGCACACTAAAAGTAAGCACGCAATAATATGGATGTTCGAACCAATTTTCAGGGTACCATCCCGCTCTTCAAAGTTTACAATTCGTTAAAACTTGTGCTCGAGGGTTCAAATACGGATCACAGTGAGGTCAGGATCTTTGCAAATACCTGCCGAGGCTTTGAAGCCCGATTTCGAATTTCCCTACACCTATTGCTAGAAAAAGGCAATTCACATTTTATGGCAGAAAAATTTATTGAACTTGATAAGGTGAACTTCAGGTGGCTGTCAAAAAATTGCCCGCCCACGCGAATCATGAGGGTCGGATGGACTTTTTCCACGAGATGGCGTTTATGAAAAAGCTTGGCTATCATCCGCATGTTATTTCGATGCTTGGCTGTGTGTCGAACCCGATCGGTAAGTAAGCTTCCCTCTCGGTCTCGCTCTGTCTCTCTCATGCTTTCTACGATCTACTTCCAAATACTCCTTTTTAAGAACCCTTGATCGTCGTTGAATTTTGCAAACACGGTGATCTCCTACGATTCATCCGTAAGAACAAAGGCAGTATTCTAAAGGTATCATTTTATTGCTGGTCTATTCCTTTCATTCCATTTTTTAGGACGAGCATTCCACATCCAGCGACTACGAGCACATACTTACCATCAAAGAGCTTGTGTCTATCGCTTGGCAAGTAGCTGATGGCTTGGTAAGTACTGAAAAAACTCCCGTTTTTAGCCAAACCTCTTGGTGTCGCTGGTTATCTACGGAATCCAAGGATTTTACCGCCGTTTTTAGTTCTACCTCGTCTCCCACAAATTTATCCACCGAGACGTGGCGGCCAGAAATATTTTGCTGACCAAGAATATGTGCGCCAAGGTGGGAAAATGCCTTAAAAGCTATACAAAACTTTAGATATCCGATTTCGGGTTGTGTCGATATGCCGATTCTGCCCTTTACACTGCTAAGGGTGGGAAGCTGCCGATAAAGTGGATGTCGCCGGAATCGCTCAAGTTCTACGAGTATACCGAGAAGACGGAAGTGTGAGTCTCTCTTTCACTCTCTACCTCTCTCTCTCTCTCTCTCTCTCTCTTAAATCAAATATTTTAGTTGGTCTTACGGCATCGCCTTGTGGGAGATGTTCTCCCTCGGCGAAGCCCCATTCCCCTCAGTCCAACCCATGGAAATGATCGAACACCTCGAGGAGGGCCATCGCCCCAAGCAGCCTATAAAATGCCCTAACGAATGGTACGGTAGTTTTCGTTTTTCGGTTTTTCCCATCATCGGAAAACGTCAGTAGAATGATTTTTCAGCTACGCCCTGATGAAGCAGTGTTGGGAGTTCAAGGCCGATTTGAGACCGACTTTTGACGACTTGAGGCTGAGGTTGGCTGTGTTGCTGAACATGGGCGACGAACAGTACGGTAAGTAGTTCTCACAGGCAGACAGGCAGTGGTATTTTTGTTTCTAAAGGTGTTAGACGACCCAAAAACCAACTCTTTTTTTATTACTGTTCCATGGATAACCCATCTTCGAGACACTACGACCTTCAGGATACCTCGATCTCGGCTCAGCGGCGCGTGGTCAACCGATGGGCACCCAGCAATTGACATACCTGGATGATGAATGCCCGGTTCCGCTTGAATACCTGGCAAAACCCATAGAATTGTTGGAAGTTGACGAAACTGCTGAAAATACCGACACAGAGGTTAGAAAATCATAGAAAACCTTAGCAATCGATAAGGTTCAGAAAATCGCGCTATCGGCCGAGGAGTATCGGGAAGTGGCTGAGATTTGGGCACGGAAGAAGATGCTAGGGATGGCCATTCACGATAGCATCAAAAGAGGCGCTGATGGGGAGACGGTTACTGTGAATCGGAAGCTTTTGAATGAGATGAGGTAAGCGGAAAACTTGAAGGTTTGCCCTCGCCTCAGCTCTATCACCCGTTCTCTCTGTCTGTATCTCTCGCTCTCTCTCGCTGACTCTCTCGCTCGCTCTAGCTTTTTTCGCTATTTCCATCTTCAGTTATCGCTCTCTCTCACCCTAACTCTTGCCATTAATCTCTGACTCCCTATCTCTCCCCTCTCTCTCTCTCTCACTCTCGCTCTTTCCGTCTATCCCAGTCTCTCCCCCTCTCTCTCCCTCTCTCTCTCGGCTTAACTTTCAATTTTCAGAGACCTAACAATCGATTGCGACACGATGCTTCAACTCCCGCCAATCACCGAAAACGACTACGAACGTGCCAAGAAAAAGCATTCCACACCCACTTCTGCCACCTGCAGCCCAAGTCCATCTTTTACCCGGAAACACCCGCTTGAAGTCGAGGATCCTGAAGAATTTCTGCAACGAGCCTACGCAAGAGACAAGTTGGATTTGACTTCAGATTGGCACAACCGAGCAGCAGCCTTTGAGGCTCTATCTGAGGTTCAAGGCCCGTCGGGTGGATATGTGAAAGTTGAAAAACGGATCCCGGAACCGGTATTGGCTTCGATTGCCGGGCCTTCGGGTGAGGGAGAAGAGGAGAGCAACGGAGCGGAGCGAACGGCAGCCTTTTCAATTCACGATAAAGAAGCCACAGAACACCATCGAAGCCGACCGAGCCAACTCGAGAATTCCGAATCGACAGATCAAGGTGAAGAGGAGCATGACGCAGGGAGCATACTGCAACTTTTTCAATATGCGATGAAGAAGTGCCAGAAAATCGGAGGCTAGCGAGAAAATCCGGAGCTTCCGATGAGGGACAAGAGGTCTGTAGTGTAGCGGAGCGTAACGTAACAGAGCGTCACCTAACCGTACCGATTGACGAGGAGATACCAGAAATCAGGAGACCATCTCGAAATGGGTCCTCATCAAGTGATGGTGGAAATGAGACAGATGTGGAGTCGGGAATGGTTGGTATTTTGTACGTTGAAACCTTTATAAAAACTAAAAAAAAACCCACAAATACATGATATTCTCGGAAATGAAAAAAAGATTAAAAAGAGACCATCCAACCAGTTAAAAAAAAGAAAAGCTGAAATTTTCTTCGATGGTTAGCAGATTAAAATTAATAATTAGCAGAAGAACATGCCAGCTTAAAGGTATCAAAGTATTTTAAAGCAAGGTCCGAAATGTTCAAAAATCAAACCCCGAAGCGTACCTCATCTAAGCGTCACGGTGCCATTTAGGACATTGAGATGTGTGAACGGGGCCGTCACCGCAGCCGCACAGCCTCGTCATTAGTCCTCTTTCGGCCGGTCCCACCACGATTACGTACTCATTCTGTCGGTCTCCAAAGGGACGACATTCCCTCTGAACAATAGACACACACACACAAAATATCGGATTTATGTAAAGAGGGGAGAAATCTCCCCCAAGACCTTTAAGCCGAGGGGATCATTCCCGCCAAAGCTGGTAATTTTTCTTTGTTTTTGAAAGCAATTTTCTCTTGATCCAGCCCTGCTCATCTTACTATATTTTTGAAAATCAATTTTTCCCAGTAAATTTCCGCAAATTGTGCTGATTTTACCGTATTTTTCAGCAGTTTTCTTATTTCCAATTTTGCGAGACATTTTTTTATGCCCCCCCCCCTCCAAAATATCGTGTTTTCTATGGCAACAATTGTTGTATTTTATATTTTTTAACATGTAGGCTTTTTCTTCACATACAAACACATATTCCGGTTCCTTCCCCATCCTATGTACGATTTATACATTTACGGGTTTAATGTTTCGGTTTCAGGTGATAAATATTAGTACTTTTTATTGTTTCTACTGTTTTTAGGTTTAATAATTGACAATGACTTCCGATGCCAAAAGTCATAATTTTCTGGCAATACTGGAGCGTTTCTCGATTTTTCTCTTTCTCTGTTGAACCGAGAAATCCACGAGTAATGGTCCAAACAATCGATTTTGTCTCTAGATAGGCCTCATCTGACGCCACATAAAATTATAGATTTAAATGACGGTTTTTGTTTGGAATTTCACGAGTGGCATGCGAAGTTCGATCAAGCAAGCCCAAAAACCACTCCTGTCCAACCGCCGTAGCTTCCCCGAAACGCGCGCCACCTGGCCCACCCGGGGAGAAGGGGGTATAAAAGAAACCCCGCCCTCCCCTGTCTGCTCGCGGTGATGTGTCTAAGGTTGGTCCGTGTTACTGAACGTGCTGTTGATACCACAACCTACTGAGCTCAATTTTTGTGATTTTGTCGGGGACCAAGTTTATTTTTGGAAGTTCTTATTTTATTTTCGCCCGGTTGGGCTCAGGTTTCGGCCCGAAGGCGTTGACAGGTGAAAATTAAGCCTGGGGAGTTATATTTACGGGCGAATTTTATGTTTGGGTGCGCAGTATGGATTAATTTAAAAGTTTTAAGAGCATATTTATCACTTTAGAGATATATATTTTTAGCTTATGACTGCAATTTATAACCACAAAACTTTTTAGAGAAAATGGAGCTGTTGAAGCAAGAAAAAAAACAGATAACTTCCATTAAAACAGCGAAAATAAGTTTTGTAAAACCTAACAGTCTAGAATTTTTCATAGATCATTTCTAAGTCAGGCCCTTTCGCAGAAAATTTGAAAGTAGCGCGTGTTATGATGCATTAATGTCATTTCGGGTACGCCAACTCATCTATCTAATTTTCGGCGTAAATCCGATCGGAAAGCGGAACGGATAAGTGGCTAAAACACCATAAAGCAAATTACATACCCGTAAAGGGCACGGTTTCGTTTTTTGTAAAAATGTAATCATTAAACACCTTAAAAACAGTCTAAAAGACTACAAATTACAAATTCTGACGTAAAATTAGCTCTACGATTTCTATTGTGCTTTGAAATATTCCGATTGCTCAGACGAGATCAGTCTTGCAAACTAAGTCATTAAACTTCCTAAAAAAACTGATTGGAAACTCTAAGCCACGATTTTTACGTAAAAAGTGACTCTACGATTCCTATTTTGCGCCACTAAAAATTAGTTTGATTTTACGCGTTGTGTCGTACCAGTTTAATCAAGAAAACTACAAAAAACACCCTGGGAAACTTCAAGCTACAATTTTTCTGACGTTTGACCTTCCCACGCGGTTCGCAAGCTGGGAAATTCGCTATTTTGCCCCTCTAAAAATCGTTGAGATCTCACGAAACTCACCCTTTTTCGTAGCACACCCCCCCCCCGCCTTGCGGTCGCCACGGTAAAATATAATTTGACGGCCGCGCTGCCGAGCCAAGCTGTGTGGCACGGCTACTAATTGCCTGAGAATAACCCATTTCACCAAGGGCCGTTTGCTACCTGCTGGCCGGCCCGGGTCCCCAAGCGATTATTACTGATTTACGAGGCTTTAGACGGGGTTGAAATGGGCGGAAGGTTGTCATGTAATGGGAAGGTTTGCATGCTTTACGACCTGGTTGGTACTTTTTGATCCGATTAATTTGTCACGGGATATGGCGGCGAATCGGGCGTATTTTTCAGCCATCAGGCTCACATTCACCTCCATATTGCGCTACTTTCACAATCTATGTGTACTTACGTTCAACTTGAAAAAAGAAAGCGTGATTTATCATTTTTTTGGGTTGGGCGGAAATTTCGTGAAACTAGCTTTTAGCATTGAGTTAAATAACTCGACGAACTTGAGCTTTCCCCGTCCCTCGCTCCCGCTCCCTGTCTCGCGATCTCTCTCGCTCGCTTTCTCACTTTTTTCTCTCACTCTCGCACTATCTTTATCTCACATTCTCTTGCACTCTAATTTTCTCGCACTCTATCCCCCTCTCTGTCTCGCTCGCTCTATCTCTCGCTCGGTCTCGCACTCTGTCATGCTCCGAAACCTAAGAAGTTTAAGTTTAATGTCCCAAGGAATGTATTTGGGACCAAAACACATGCGTTCCAGCCCAGTAAATCTACTTTTTTCAAGCTCAATCTCACCTCCCTTCTTTTTCACCTCGAGCCGCCCCGATTTTTATTTTTGACTACATTCTCCAGGACCTGCTTCCCAGGAATTACTTGCTTTTTGGGCTTCAGTAGCCTTAAATCCGTATTTTTTAGATATCGAGGCCGAAGGTTCGAAAGCTTCTGATCGATGGATCCAAGAATGGACGCTGACCATTTGGCTGTGCAAGCTATCTTTCCGTATCTAGCCGGTGGATCAGCAATTTGCTGTGCTCTAAATATTGCTATTGTTACCGTGATCGCGAAGAACGAGTCGTTAAGAGGGAATTTTTACAAGATCTCGGTAGTACAGGTAAGGTAGTCAAAAAATTAGAATTTACAGTAGTTAGTTTCCATCCGCCCTTTACAGACCATCATGGAGCTCCTGTGGGCCCTCGTCTTCTTCGTCCTGATCCTCCCCTCACAAATCGGCTACTACGCAATCACATTCGAGCAGAGCGACTTTCTCACGGCAATCGCGCAGCCAGTACGAATGCTTCTCTTTACGGCGGCAATCCTGACGACGATTGAGAGGGTTACGATAGCACATGCACCGGTAAGGAAGCTTCAGAACACTGGGGTATACCTAAAGCTTTTTCTGGATAAGGATTTTGAGAGAGGACTTTGACTAAAAGTTTCCTGGGCCAGAAGTTATAGGTTTCCGATGCCACTTAATACAGTTGTTCTGCGATGAACCGAATTTTAGGAAGTGGGCTGGACCCTGTTTCGTCGTGGGCTGATCCTAGCTCTGATCTTTGTTATCCCCACTTTTCTCGTCGCCATCATCTTTCGTGATCGAGACGAGTGGACGTCGAGAGTGGATTTTACAGAATGCGATACTACGGTAGGATCTTGACATATTTTGGGACAGATTTTTGTCAAATTTTTGGCCTTAAATTGGTATGAATTTGCGATAGTGTTGGTTCTAATTTAGCATCGAGATGTTTTGGAACGACCGCCAGCTTTCGAGATCTACTAGTTCATAGATTCGAACATCGCGCTTCCTATAGTCGTTAGAAACGCTAAAAAATGACCTTGTCAACCTACCAAGACCTAGACCACGGAAAAGATCAATCCTTGCGCTGCCTAATCCCCTTAAAGTCTGGCGTCATTAAGCAAGATCATTTAACCTGCAAAATTCAATAGGCAACGCTTTGCTTTTGCCGCCTCCCGTCAGCCCCTTTGACTGTTTGCCTAGTCGATACCTATGAAAAAATTAGGTTCGATTGCAAGACCTTTCATCCGACTTTTCAGATCGACTGCGTACTCGAGTTCATCCTAGAAGGAGCCCTGTTTGCCCTGACCATCGCCGCCGTCATCTCGTTTGTATTGACAATGATTGGAGCGATAAAGAGTGGAAGCAAGGAGGTTAGGTTAATTCCATCAGGCCCCTCGTTTTGCAAGGCCTGCAGCCCTAAAAACAACAATGTTTACGTGCGGATAGGGCAATAAGTGCTCCATCAATTGTTGCATAACAACGGTTAATGATAGCTCTCGTTTTTAACGTCCATTCTGCCAAAAAATTCAATGAAAATCTGGATTCCTCATTGTCAGTTTCGGCTATAAATTATCCCCTCATTCTGTGAAAAACCACCGCGACTTCCGGGCCTGATAAGCCGCTATCAACCACTCGTCATTTTCCGCACCCCCGGAAAAGACCAAAGTATGGAAAATGGGGGCGGATTGGACGGCTTGAATGTGACGAGACGGGGAAATTAACGTAAAATTCACAAAATTAAAAAAAATGAGAAGTCTCACTTGATTAATTTTAGGAAAAACACGCCCACGCCATTGCCACCACCATCGTGATCATCGTCCTAGACTCTTACCGAAATCCATTTCGGCTTTTCGCTGAGCCATTGCCTTTCAAACAGCACATGGATCACTTGGCACAGGAACGGCGCCCGGCACTGAAACGGGAGGTACTGGACTCTTAGCAGGCGGATTTGTAGGTTCTTGATTGTTCGCTGGGGCTCGGAAATTTTTCGATATTTATGGTCGGAACTAAAACGGCACTTAAGCCCACGCATTTTTTGGAGAAACGCGTAAGAAAACTAAGCCCGATTGTTTTCTCGCCTTTTTTAAGGGCTTTCCAATGCATCAAAAACATCTCAACCCGAGATTTCTCCGGACCACTAGATAGGGTTTTTTGCGATGTATAAAAACGGGTTAGAGTGCAGTTGTATTCCCCCCAGCCGACACCCAACTACCGTATCTCGGCTCCCTGTTCATTTACAGGTGTGTAAAGTATACCAAAATACTCACCAGAGAAAGATCAACATTTTGGTATAGCTTACACACCTGTAGATGAACATGGAGCCGAGATACAAAGACTGGGTGCCGGCTGGTCGGGGCGTAAACTGAACTCTAACAGGGTTTGGCTAAACTCAAGTTTACCCCCCTGCAGGCGAGACAGTAGGCCTGGGGGAGAGGGCGCAGGCGAAGAGATCGTAGGCCTGGGGGAGAGGGCGCAGAGAAAAGGGGCGTCTGGGGGTAAACTAGAGTCTTACCCAGGGTTTTTTTGGGATTTAGAAAAACGGACATTTTATATTTGATTACTGGCAAACCTGGCCCTATAGGAAAAAGACTTTGAATGAGGAAACTCCTTCTCACTTTATGCAAATTCGCCGCCCCGGTCCCCCCAAAAATGAATGAAACCGGCCGTGACTTTGTAAACTTGTATTTTATCGAAATTTTGAGAACGTTATCAGAAAGGGGAGGGTTGAATGCCTCGTGTGACGGAGAATCGGCGCGTTTTGGACCCGGAAAAGGCTTCCAATTCCAAAACTGGCATCCACACACAAACCCACAGACACAAAAACGCCAAAATGAAATACGATAATTTTGTAAAATTATTACTTGAGCCAACGCCGGGCGGTAGCCGACGGCGATGAAGACGACGAGGAGCAGCAGAGAACGGTAGCCGACCATCGGAAGACGGGCAGGTTTGATGGAATGATACTACGCATTTCAGATTCTGTTTTGTAGTCAGATTCAAATGCAAAGGACCGGGACTTTGTTCACGAACTGCAAATTCGAATTTTATGCAAAACCCTAAAATTCAAACTTCAAACCCTTTGAAAGTGTCGGGGTATCCCAAGTGAATTTTCGGCTTAACTCCCGCTCCCCCCGTTAAAAGATAAGAACCAATTAAACCATCAAACATTTTTTCGGGTTATAGAAAAAGCTCTTGGTATAGTTTTCGCTCCTCTCTCGATGGTATTTTCAAAAGACTAAAAAAATTAAAAAAAAGCTGAAAATGGGTTCCTCTACCCGTTTTCCTATTTGAGGGCCACGGTTTGCAATAATAGTTTTTATGCTATAAACGTCCATATTACCTTATTTTTTGCGTTAAAACAAATTCTTTTCTTATATTTTTTGACCGTGTATCGAATCGCGCTTGATAAATCCCATAGTTATTTAAATATTAAAAATAATGACCAATCCCCACTAAGCCCCCGTTATCAGATGTATGTCGATATCTCTATTGTTATTTATGCGAATCAAATTCCCAAAAGGCGATACCGCACAAAGCAGGTGTTTTTAAGCGATCTACGCCCCTTTTTAGGAAAACCTGTACACAAGGGGACGAGCTTCATTATACGAGCATCTCGTCGGACTCGCTGCGGCTCGCGTGTGTGTTCAGCGGCTGGAATCCGATCTCGAGCTCGCCGTTCTGGTCGAGGATGATGGGCGGGTGGGCCGAGGGGAGCAGCACATGGCGCAGGAACGTCCGGTTGCGCCGCAGCCCGAGGAAGTTGCGCCAGTTCTCGACGAAGCCGTGGTGGTAGGGGTTGCGGTAGCCGGTAGGACGGCCGTCCCAGCCTTTCTGAAAAACACGGTTTGCCATGGAACCACACAAATAATCGCTGGAAGCGCATTTTGGAGAAAGGTTCTATTGCATTATCGGGGGGCAGGGAGCGGCGATTTTTTCCTAAGGATTTTTCTGATATAATGCAGCGGAAGTGCTTCTCAACTGTTTTTCATTAAAGGGATGCCGACGGCATGTGTCGATCCCCCCCCCCCCATCAACAAATTGGCAAGTAGCCAACAGGGCAGAGAGCGCGCCCTGGGGAGAGGCGCAGAGACATTTTCTTTCCCTCGCGTAATCGATTGCCTTATGCCGCCCCTATCTCTTTAAATCAAAGCCTTAAAAGTTCAAAAATTTGATGAAAAAATACAAAAATATAGATTTTCTGGACTAAAATTGGTTCTGATGCTTTTTGTTGTTTTTCCGCTTCAAATCTACTTAAATCTTATTAACAACACTATCAGAAATATAAAATACTAGACATTTCGCGACATCGGAAGGATCCCCCATATATTGCAAAAGCACCCGGAGGGCAATAAAGAAAAGGCCCTCGAAAAAGCGCGCGCCGAGTTGTTGCTCTGTATTGAAAAATGTGTGTAATCACCTCTTCAATTAGGAAGCGACACTTGCCGAACTTGGAAAACTGGAAAAGAGGATGTGAATTGTGAAAAGGCGGAAAATTGATACCAAGTAGTCGACGTAGGTGAAGCCCTTGGAGATGAGGTAGACGTTCCACAACGCCAGCCCGCCGACGAGCAGAAAGAGCAGGAAGGACAGCATGTAGCAGAAGATGACTGAAAAAAAAATGAAATTTTCGACAAAAAATCGAAAAAATAGGCAAAAATGAAAATTTCCGTTGTTTTCATGGAAACCGCAGCGCACTCTAGCGAATCAACGATGATAAAAAATGGTTACATGGTTTCTTTTTCATTATCGAGGACAGAAAACGTTTTTTGTCAATGAGATACGGCTAGCAATGAAAAAGCAGGTCTTTTTGCCTGTTCGTCGCATATGGCTATATTGTAAGTTATAACTATACAAAAGGCTGGTCGAAAAACAATCTTTTGTATATTTATAAAACAGAAAAATATCGCCGGCAATGATAAGGATCTAAGCGTAATAAACCCACTCGAATTCCTGGCCAGTTCGCCAAATTCACAAATGTGCCCTTGCAAAGGGGCGTAGTCGAGCTGCACATTGCAGTAGTTGTGGTCGAACTGAAAATGGAGTACTTTTCTCGCCACGCTGGTGAAGATTTCTGCGCCCTTTCAGAACAAGATTCATGGTTTCCACGACAGCCAGAATCATCAATCCATTCGACTGCCAAAACAACAATAAAAATTACCATGAAAATGTGGTCGTAGAACGAGTGCCCGCCCGCCGCAACGATCATCAGCCCGGTGAGCGTCAGATGGGAGATGAAGAGGAAGAAGTGACGATGGTTGTGGTTGCCGACGCACTGGTTGATCCAGATGCAGTGATGGTCCATCCCCAGCACGCATCTAAATTGGAAAGAATCAGAAGTTGACAGAAAAACGGACGTTCGGCAGACTGAGCAATGGTGGGTGCGATCGCATTTCCAGTTTTGGCACGCCACGCACCAGCGATCACCTGATTTCTGAAAGAGGAAAAGATTAGCTTGTCTGTTTCAAGAAACCGTTTCACCTGAACCACCAGCTTTAAAAAAAATTGGAAAAAGAGAGCTGCTGCTTTCCCGCATTTTCCAGAACGGCCGTTAGGAGAAATATTGCCAAAATATTCAACCGAAAAATTTAACTTATACCAACCCCAAATCCCGGCAGCGGTGGCAGCAGCCGGGCTTTCGTGTAGTGGTACATGATGTTGATGAGGAAGTAGACGCCCAGCACCGAGTAGATGGCCAGAAGCCACAGGGGCTGATACCTAGATCGTCGTGAATCGAACAGAAAGTGGCTTTACCTTTGCTCATACGGCAAAATGACGCAGAAGCCGGTGATCGCGATGAAGATGGTGATGAGGTGGACGAAGACGACCAGGCACTGGAAAAATAACATTTTTTGACGTTAACGGCTTTTACTGTCCGTTTTTTTTAATTTGAGGGCCAAGATTTAGCTAAAAAGTCAGCCAAAATAGCGCGCGCTAGCTCCCTAGAACGTACATGGCAAAAAAATCCGGTACTTTTACAATATCGGGGATGGCGTAGTTTCCCCCACGGGTCTAGAAATGGAAAGATAAAATCTAGCAACATTTCAAATGTAACAACTATTAGAACACCTATAAAAGGTTATATTTTGCTTTTTTGGCTTGAAAACTAGATTTCCTCAGAATTACTGATAAAAATTACAGAACTTTTCGAGCGTTAGGTCGTAAAAATCGTTTAGAAACACTTCCCCTTACGATATTAAACAAATAAGACCAAAGAAAAAGTGCATCGCACGCGTATCAGCCAAACATTTCTGTTTTTTTACCAACCCAACCAGCTTTCCGTGGCATTTTTTCCTCAGCCTCGTTTTGAGCCCGCTGGTAGCGCTTTAAAAATCGACTATCTGCTCAAAACGGCCGTTCTTTGGCAAAAAGTTATCAGAATACGGCCTCACCTTGCCGAGCTGCTTCATGATGGTGTTGAGGTAGGAGAAGTAGGGGGCGCAAAAGCCCTCGACCATACAGTGCTCCACCCGGTCGATCCATTCCCCGAAGCTCATCCCCAGGGGACCCTGAAAATTGAGAAATATACATTCAGACGGCAAGCTGATTCAGCAAAGGTTGGAAATCGGAAGTGTGAAAAACAGGGTGAAGCCAATGAAGCCGGAAGCCCGCGGGGAGTAGCCGGGCAACCCGAAAACGCTGAACGTACCGGCAACGAGCGAATGGAGAGCATTTCAAGAAGAAGCCCGGGGTAAATAATGTGATTTTAGATAAGAGGGAACGCAGGAAGCAACAGAAAATATGCAAATTATAGGTAATCAAATTTGGCGTATTCAAATTAAAGGCCGCCAGTCTGGCAACTTTCGCAGGCATGACAGGCTGTCCTACGGGCGTGATTTCGCGCTCAAAATACAAAACAGAACTTCCTCTTCTTTTTAGTATATGTTTAGTAAGTTTTAATAGTCTAAATTTGGTAATTTCGCATTAAACAATTGTGATAGTATGCACAGGCTTTTTACAGCTTGGCGCGGCTCAACAAGTGTGATTTCGCTACAAAATACAAAGCAAAACGCCTTCTTCATTTTCGTATATCTCAAACTAATGTAATAAAGTTTAACCTCAATAATTTCGCATTAAAAACTTGGGGGTTTAGCGAGCTTTTTTGAAGGTTTGCACTGCTCGACAAACGTGATTTCGCGGCAAGGTAAAAAACTCGACGCCCTCTTTCTTTTGGTAGATATTACAAAAGTTTTACTAAAGTGTTACATTAGTTTCCGGACTTCAAAACGTGACCGCCATCGAAGATGCACTTTGCCTATTGTTCCCGGTCCCCGTCGCAAACACGCCGCTCCAATGCACACCCCAAAAAGTGTGCTCTCATCGACGAGGCGTCCCCCACAGCCGGTTTCCCTTGACGCCATGGAATGCACTTTCCGAAATTTGAAACATTTCTAGCGCCCACCCGAATTGAAGCTTCTCCCCGAAAATTGCTAATTTTTAATGCTTTTTATGTTGCAAAAGATTTAAAACCATTTTCCTGAAAATTTAGCGAAATTTCTCGTGTTTTTGGACGGCTCTCCCCTGTTGAATTAGTTGTTTTTAAGACCAGTTTCTCTTCTAAATAAATTCTAATTGCATTCGGGATGTTGCCAGACACGTTTGGCGGGCTTTTGAGGGGTTCGCGACGTTTTGCCGACCTAGCTCACCCTTACAGAAATTTGAACTTGAGGTCCTTTTTGTTTTTCGAGCCTCTTAAATAACTAGCTAACAGTTTCTGCATCCTGCTAAATCTTTTGTTTGCAAGGGTTGCGCAGTTTTATAAAATTCCCCGTTTTATCCGCTTGCTCGTTTTTGATGCTTGGTGCTAATTTTTCCTAGCTCCCAGTTTTCTAATTTTCGAAAGTTGATAATTTTTTCATCCCAGGATTCAATTCAGATGTCCACGAACTCCCCTTCGCGAGCGCAAGGGCCAATAATCCCGGCGCAACAAGCCCTGGAGTTTATACCCCCCGACACTTCTCAGGTAGGCCAACCAATAAGTATTTTTTTTGAACGATGCTGGCATTGACACCGTTTTAGGATACTTTGCAAAGTATCCTAAAACCTAAAGTGGCCAAATTTGGCCACTTTCAGGAGAGAAGGAGATATTGATACTATTAAATTTATCGTAAAATCCCTGAGTTTGCCTAAACCATATAAGAAATGCCCAAGCCATAACAATAATAAAACACAGACATTTCAGAATTCCGCACCCAAAGAAAACGGAACTACACGAAGAAGGTCGGCACGCGAATCGAAGGAGCAAAAGGAAGAAAATGATGAGGAGTCGGAGCCCAAGGAGACGCGGAGTAGGAGGCGGAAACCCAAACATGAAGAGGTAGATAGAAAGGCCGGTTCTTTAGGATTTTTTTTCTCATTCACATTCTAAGCACAATGAGAAAAGCAAAAACACCAATTTCAGCCCGCTCGTGAATTGACCCTGGACGAGGAGATCGAGCGGTTACAGAAAGAGATGTTGATGATCGACAACGAGACCCATCCCGAATTGTTGCGGCTGTACGACGCGTACGCGAAGCGGCGGAAACTGCAAAAAGAGTTGGAGGACGTTGAGGCAGAGGTTGGTTTTTCAATAGAATAATAGATCCTTGGAAAATTGGGTTCTTTCGCATCATCGGGGGCTATCACTCTTTTCTTAGGATCTAATTTTTCAAATATAAATAATAGAAATGTTTTTAAACGGTTTTTGCTATTCCTAAACGCGAAATTCTTCAAAATATTGCTTTTTTGACCAAAACCTTTTGACCATTTTTACTTTGTAAAACATGTTTTGAGTTTTTAAATAGTTTTTCTAGTTTTACTAAAAACACTATTAAAACGCTTTCTATTAAGTTACTAGACATACTAGACTTAAATAAAGCGGTGCTGGCCCCCGATAATGCCAAAAACCAAAATTTTAAGGGGTTTTGGCGTTTTGTAAGGCTGCAGCTTTCCGAAAATGCGTAGAATTAGGGTATTAGCGCTTAGAAATGTGAATACGGCCTCTGGTTGGCGATTCCGATTGTCCGTTGCACCTCGTTTAGATCGTTGAAAAGTCGATGGCTTACCAGCGAACGTGCTGTGCGGCCCGACGATTCCCATTCATAACCGTAAGGCTTTCTCGGCTACATTTCCAGGGTGTAGGCCTTTTGCGCGATGTAGAGAATCCAAAACGCCTTTTTGAAATGTACTAAATTCAAATCTAGCTTGAGGCTGCCGAGCAGAAGCGACTGGAAGCGGAAATTGAGGCCAAGGAGAAGGAAGTAAGGATTTTAACCATTTTTTTGGAAGTTAATGTTTAGGCGACGCAAGAATCCGACAAGCGAGCATCACAAATCGTCGAGCAGCTGCTGAACGATTACGATAAGGAGATCAAAAAGGTAGGTAGTCGGGTTTCGGTACTGCACTCGTAGCGCGAGCGGGGGGGGGGGGGGTTGCAGGGGGAAACCTAATTTTTCCCAGTGATCGTGTACGGCCCTATAAGAAAATATAAGCGTTTTTTTATAGCATTTTACATAGTTCTTATTTATAATAAGCATTTTCAAAATTTCAGCTCCTTTGATTTTTGATCAGAAATAACTGACTGACTGTAACCCTTTTTTGGTCGAAGTGGAAATTCGTTGCTTCAGATCGCACATCTTGTGCAGAATTTTTCGCTGATTCCGAATCCGTTTTCAAAAGTTGCGGAACCACTCAGATTAAAAAGTTACAAGCGTTTTTAATGCCCAAACTGCCACAAATCGCTTACTTTAAAGCGTTCTAAAAAATCCGTAAAATACTTTTGGGGGGAGGATAAGGCGTTCTCCGCGGTAAAAAAAGGTGCTCTTCCGAATGGGCTATCTCACGTACCCATAGCTCAAGATTTGCAAAAAAGTTTTTTTGGCGGACGCTTGCCCAAGACGGCCGATTTTCGAAATTTTAGAAATTTTAGATATAGAATCGAAAAATTCTGCACAAGTTGTGCTATCTGAAGAAACGAATTTCCACTTCGACCTTAAGAGGGTTACTTAAGGAAAGAGCTGACAAAAAACTGAGCAAAAAATCTCAAGATTTTCAGGTTTTCAAAAGAAATATAAAGGCAATATAAAAATGTATTCCAGTGATAAAAACCCTGCTAAAAGTCCAGTTCCCCAAATTCGAACAAGATCTTCACGTTAATTTTAAATTAAAAATTACCGCTTGATTTTATAGGGAATTCGGAGACCCAAATCAGAAAAAAAAGTTCATCAGAAGCATCAGTTTCATCAGAATTTTATGCCATAATTCTTAAGGAAATGAACAAATGCATCGTTTCAGGCGGAAGCCTACATCACCAACATGGACATCACAAAACCCCAAAACGATATGCCGGCCGATTCGTCGAAAAAGACGTTGCGAGCACCGACGTGAGTTTTTAAGGGTATTCAAAAATCGGCGGCATCGCGCTTTTACATGACGTAATCGGTTGGCTTTTAGCCGAAGGCCCATTCAGTGAATAGACTATAAATCCAAAAATTCCAGATTCCCGACCCCTACGATACGAAAACCATTCGAATGCGGAAAGCTTGCGCCAGCTTCGATTCCGCTGTCAGCCAAGATCCAGACGTATTTGCTAAAGGAGTCCGAGATAGCTGATGATTTAAAGGTGAGCCCCATGCTCTATTTCAGGGCCCAAAAAAGCCTTTTTGCGCCGCGAAACGTCCGCATTTACATTGCGTAACCTATTACGTGATTTTTACGCGCGCGTGTTGCTTATCGCCATCCCGATAGAAGAAGAGTACCGTACCCTTGAAAACTTTCATATAGAGCTAGAAAACGCTAAGAAAACCCTCTATTTTTAGTCATTTGGGCCCGACTCGAAGGGCAAGGCGCGGAACAGCGAGTACGCCGAGGTCGTGCTCAGCAAGGGTCGATTTGTGTACAACAACAAGAGGTAAGTTAATTCTATGTAATTACCCCAGACATGGAAATTCTGTGAAAAGCAAAAGACCTAGTCTTTGTGGTCGAATCTTGGGTTCTAATTCCTGTTCTTTCATACTTTTGAACCGTTAAATTGATCACGCCAGGAGAATCCCAAGTTTTCGAGAGAAATCTAGTGAAATTGCTGACCGAAATTTATAGTTTTATCCGCACCTTTTCAGCTACAAGCCCGGCGAGGAGGTACACGTCGAGACGAAGGAGTACGGCAGGATACCCGCTAAAATCGATACGATCAACGATGAGGTTGGTTTGAAGGGCCAACACCTAGATTCACTTCTTTTAGGTGGTCCTATTCAAGTCGACGTTCACGTGGGATGTGCGTCAGATCTGCGCGTCGCTGTCGGATTTCGCCGAGGGGCGAGTGATCATCCACACGAAGAAGAGGGCCAATCAATGACACTGGCCAGGGCCCCGGAGGCCCATGCACTCTTCGCTTGTATCAAATGTATTTCTCACCCTCAATCTCTCCCTCTCTCCCGTCGCCATTTGCTCAACTTATTTCGGGTCAAACGCGTCAAATTTTTTGTTAATCAAAGACACGGCCATCTGTGATAATGCTCAAGCCAACGCCTCTCTCTCTCTCTCTCTCTCTCTCTCTCTCGCTCTCTTTCTCTCGCTCTCTCATAAAATCACTCCAAAACGGGTCTTGCCAGGATTTTTAGGCCGCATTTTTTATGCAATTTTCCGCTGATAAGCTATTTACGCTACTGTAGATTTTTAATACTCACTCGTGAATCTCCGTGAAGTACCCATATTGTGCTATGCTCTCTCTCTATCTCTCTCCCTCTCGCTCTGTCTCTATCTCTCCCGCTCTCTCGCCGAACCAAAACCACCCCATTACCTCCATTATGATACTTATTTATTTTGTGGATTTTTGCATTTAACATGTAGTATCAATAAGATACAAAAACACACAACTATTGCTCAACTAGCAATAGCGTTGAGTGAGATAAAATATTTGCAACAATATGTATGATGCTACAGTATATTTCGTTGAGATCGAATAGGGAAGGGGACACGCAATCAAGGGAGGGAAAGGTTGGAAAATCAGGCAAAAAAAGTACGATTTTTAAGAAAAAAATGAGCAATGAAAATTTAATAGGCTTAAAAACTAGTAATACAATGCGCCTTGACTAGACTTTTTGGCAAAATGGGACTCGAAAAATCACAGTTGACAATTTTTAAAGGGACTGACATGGTACGGCGATGGAATTTGGCCTGTTACCGTAGTTTTCGATTGTAATTTCTCGACAGGACCCGCGACACGCAACGCGCGCCTGAATTTCTATAGCGTAATGGGTTAAGGCTTCGTCGCGATCGTCACATGGCAAGCGTCGCGTGTCGCGGCAAAATCTCGACCGAACCCAACGCCAGACAATTCCATATCGCTGCCTTGCTCGACCCTTTAAAAGAACTTGGAAACTTCGAGAACCTCTTCTTCTGCTTATTTTGCAGACAGCGGCTCCTTCTCCGTCTCATTCGGGTAGATTTTGCCCTGCTCGATGGGGTGAAGCCGGTCCTGAAAAGTTGAATGAAGCTAAGACCCTTAAAAAGCATTCTGACCTCATTTCCCGGCTCGATCTCCTTCTTCCTGAAGCACGTCATGCCCAGCTCGCCCACCAGCACGATGAATTCGATGACGGTGATCACGGAGAAGCCTGAGAATTCGGGGAATACTCAGGAACGGGTTAGAAATTCTTACCCATCCAGAGTCCGAGATGACCTCCAAAATCGGCGATGAGGTTGACCATCTGAAAAATATGCTTTCTCTCACTTCCTCACACTCTCGCACATTCTCTCTCTCGTACGCTCTCTCTCTCTCTCTCTCTCTCTCTCTCTCTCTCTCTCCTCTTCTCATTCTCTCTCGGTCTCTCGCTGACTATATATCTCACTCTCCCTATCGCGCTCTCCCTCTCCCTCTACCGCGCCCTCTCCCTCTCTCTCTCACACTCTCTCTCTTTTGCTCTATCTCTCTCTCTCTTGCAATAAAGACCTACGCCGTACGCCTCGGTCTCCTGCAGGAATTCGTAGTTGAGCTGCTCGTAGAAGATTTCCTAAAGGATGTTTTTTCGAGGGTTTCGAGAAAATCCGTCCTTTGTTAAATTTTGTGCATTCGCGAAACGCAGCGCGTGCCCTATTTTAATTGCGTAACGGATGAGCATTGCTTCGATACCGTCAAGCAGCGCGTTGCGTCGCGTGTCGCGGGCGCGAGAAAATACAGATTCTGACGGTTGTTATAAATAATGGGATAGAAGCATGGTTTTTATGAAATACACGTGCTAAAAACCGACGATCATGGCCGCATTCAGTCGATAATAATCCTCACATTCTGCCGTGCTCATCCCCTCACAGTCGCCAAGCTGAAAATCGAAGATCAGAATTTTTTAAATTTAAAAAATCGGTACCACCGGGGTATGGATTTGGATGCGATCGGTCATTCCAGGGAAAAGGAGAAAATATATTTTTTTGGGGTCGACATTCTAAACAAAAATCGAGAATTCTTGCGGGGGGATATACGAAATCGAATTTTCGAGCCAATCACTCACCCTTTCAGCCGCACTCTAAAAACGAATCGTAATGTAATGCCATTAAATATTAAAAATCACGAGAAATTTTAGAAAAATGGGGTTGGAAAATGGCACACAAGCAAAATGATCATCGCCGGGGATTACAAGTCGGGGGCAGCTGATAGAAAAGAGCAGGCAAAAATGGTCTAGTATGGCTAGTGTAAGAAAATATTTAAAGGGTTTACCCGATCCATTTGGGCCTGGAAATAAGTAAATAAAAATTAGTTAAGTTTTTAATCACTTTTGGACGAGAAACCCCTAATTTTAATGCTTAAAATTTGTTAAAAATTAACAAAAAATATAGTTTTATTGTTGTTTGCAATAAGACGCGCTATTTTAACACCAAAACTGCGCTGACACCGGCCCTTTCAAATCGCCATAAATTTTAAAACTACCAAAATCAGTTAAAAACTTACGTCAGTGGCACCTGACGGCCATTTACTCGCCGAAAACGTCACCTCGAACAGGTCCTGTTTGCAGCTCTAAAACACAGAATTATGGTATAGAGATTAGGGCAATAAACCCTGATAATCACCCAAAAAATCGCCAAGGCCCGACCTGTTTGCAGTAGCAATTCTCCATGTCCTGCGTTGCGTGGTGGAAATTGCTGGCATCACCCACGCGACTTGCCAGGCAGTTTCCTAAATTTGGAAGATTTTAGGTAAATTTTCTAGCTTAAAGGGAATAGTAAGCGTCAAAATGGACCCCTAGCCTCGACTAGGTATCGACAACTACGCGTCACGCCAAATGGCACCTTATGGCTGAAATTCGTAGCGCTATGGGTCTCAAAATGGGCCAAAAATCATTGTTTGACGATACTTTTGCGCTAAGCGTAGCTGTCGAGACCTAGTCGATAGAGGAGGGTCTATTTCGGCGCTTCCAGAACTTCTAAAGGGACCAGGACGCCTGACACACACAAACACCCTCTAGGAATCTCCCACTCTCTTTCTTTCGCCCTCTTGCTCACTCTCTCACGCTCTCTCTCTCTCTCTCTCTCCCTCTCTCGCTTGGTGAGACCAAAAATCTTATAGACACCCACTTTCTTGACTGCTAAACGCCGAACAATGACGCTTCCCAATCGGGACCGGAAATCGTGGATCTCCACAGCCACACTCGCGAAGCAAGGCATTTTGGAAGCACGATCGGTAGCAACCCTGAAATCGCGTGTTTCATACAGTAGCCTGGAGCTACCTCTGGATGATAGTCGTATCCCTGATAGATGTATTCATTTCTGCCAGTCATATTTCTGTCCGTCTCGCAGTCGCCGTACGGCTCCGACATGCGCTCCACGCGTTTCTGAAGGTGGGCGATAGAGTCAGAGAGGAAATGAGAGTGAGCGAGAGAAAAAAGAGAGAGAGAGACAAAGAAATAAGAGATAGAGAGATGGATACCTACCTTTTTGATACCAAAACTGCTGGCAAATCCCACGGGTGCGCTGTAGCCAAAAGTATCCGGAAACGGGTACTCGCTGGGCGAATGGATCGACAATCTGACTCCGGAAGACTCGGAGGTTGACATGTAGTCGGAGGTGTTCACGAAGAGAAGTACTCGGATGCCTAGAAAAAGCAAGAGTTTGCGCGCGAGAGAGCGCGAGAGAGAGAGCGAGAGGGAGTGAGAGAGAGAGAAATAGGGAAAGAGAAAGAGAACGAGAGAGAGAGAGAGCGAGCTCGGAATCACTTACCATACATCGGCCCCGCACGGCTACTCGTGAAATTGCTGTTGACGTCGTGGTTGAAAGTGTAGCAGTTGCCGAACTCCGGGTCGACGTGGCGGCGGAAATCGCTGAAACCTGGTTTTCTTCAGGTTTTCATGATAATTTTTCAGTTTTCATCGAAACTAAACCGATCTAAACACTATCTTAGCGCTAAAAGATCATTTTTAAAAATGATTTCTCTCTGCCTACGTATCAATATTGCACTGCTCCCCGTTGAACGAGCACATTTCCACGAATTCCGGCAGATCGTAGCTGAAAAGGCAAATGTGACAAAATTAGGGCTGTGGATTTCATTTCACTGTCCCTTTAAAACAAACAATTCAAACGAAAATTACCTCAATGCTACTCTCTGCTCCACCGACAGCGCCGCCATCGTGAACATCAGGTTTTCTTTCGCCCTCGTGAGCATCGCCACACCGTCCGTCATTCCCTAGGAGGGCGGGTGTAGTTTGCAGTTTCGCTTTCTCTCTCTCTCTCTCTCTCTCTCTCTCTCTCCCTTACCCCAAAACCCATCGCCTTCAGCGTCTCCGGATCGTACACACGCGCATTCTGCCCGGGTTTATGGTAGTTGGCTGGAAAGTAACGTACTTTGAGGTATCCTAATTTTTATGCTTTTTTTATACGTCTTTCGTCCTCATGCCCCTCGCGTTAGCCAATGACAAAAGCTCGATACTTGTGCTTGTGGTGGTTGTGGTAGTCGATGTACTCGTCGTACTCGTCGTCGTCGTTGTAGTGGTACTAGTGGTAGTGCTGGTGGTGGTAGTGGTTGTGGTGCCTAACATGCTCATGTCTACAGAGGCGATACTAAAGGCTATGCTAATATGAAAATTCACTCTATAACAAATTCTAAAAACCTTCTCTTTGCCAGCTCCTAGCTATGCCGAACTTTTTCCACAATTCTTTTTCTAGGAGCTAGCAAGTGGCGAATCGACCCCTTATTTCGACTAGGTCTAGACGGCAAATGTGAACAAAACTTAAAGGTTTTAGAATTAAAGTAGCGACGATGACGACGAATCGACGATGGCTAACGAGATATTACACGTCATTTGGAGCCCTAAGTACCCAATTTGGCGATCCCCAGTGGCAAAAAAAGATGGATTTTCACGCTTACCAGTCCTTTAAACGAGATTCTTCGAAGTTTTCAACGCTAACTTAAACAACGCAAACGTTGGGATCCAAACTACCACTTAAAAATCGATTTCCCCTTAATCAAAATTATACTAAAATGTTACTGGTAGTAGTCGTTGTGGTAGTCGACGTCGTCGTCGTGGCCGGCGCTACAAAAAGCCAATAGGTATCAGCCGTCATTCCCATTCAAATTAGTCGCAATCGATCGATTAAGACAAAAAATTACTTGTCGTAGTTGTGGTAGCGGGGGTAGTGGTAGTGGTAGTAGTGGTTGGGTCGGCTAAAAAGACGACATAAGAATTTTAAAAAAATATCTATTAAGTTTCTAGATTTAAAACCAGTGCTACAAAAGCTACAACTAAAGAAAAAATTCTAAATCTCGGTTTTTGATGAAAAAAATTACTTCGATTCGACGGTTTCCACAGTTTGCGGATCTCCTGTGGGGCCATGCTGATACAGTAGGGCTTCTGAAAAAGGCATTCATTTATTATGTACTTATATTTAGGTGAAAATCCATGGTGTATACTTTTCAAATTCAGTGCCCTCTATTTCGTGCCATAAATACCGTAGTAATCAGGTGGCTTGGGTTATGAAACTAACCAGGTACCACAATCCATGGTAGTATCTCTAAAGGGGTGATGAGAGGAAAGGTTAGTTCGTTAAAGAGAGAGAGCTAGAGGGAGAGAGAGATGAGCGAGCGTGAGTGAGAGATGGAGAGAGAGTTTGTTAATAAGTTAGTAACAGTTTGAAAGAATATTTAATACTATTATTTCGAAGCATTCCCGTGCACCTACATCGTCGACCTCATAGTCACTCGTCCTGTTCCGGCATTTGCATTTCTGAGGTTTCTGAATCGGAGCTTCATCCTGATCGTCCAACGAAGCGTCGCAATACCCCTCCGAAGTACATGATGGGCACAAATGGTCGTACCAAATGCTAAAATGGACTAATTGAAAAAGCGTCCAGTCTAGGAATACCATTCAGAACCCTCAACCGAAAAAGCAAAAAAGCAAAAAGTGGATTAGCCGCATAGGGGGCTCGAACCCCTGACATTCAGATTAAAAGTCTGACGCTCTACCAACTGAGCTAATGCGGCACTGGGGGAGGGGCGCAGGGAGGGCCTCTTCCCTGTGTGGGAGTGTCCACTCACCTCTGGTTGAAGCAAGGCCATGCCTGCTGCAGATCGTGGTCGTACGTGCACACGCATTTCGCGTCCTGGAAATGTTTATGTGACATAATGGGTTGAAACTGGCAAAAATTGTATCGAAAAGGGTAAAATAACCTTAAATTTCCGAGAGATATATTTCCAGCGTAATAAAATGGCAAATTACACATTTTTCAAACTTTCCTGTTCTGTTGATCAGCGCCTTCAGGTAAAAATAAGTTTCTTAATTTTTAGAACATGATTCTAACGTTAATAATCTTGAGCGCGTTTTTCAGATAAATTTTGATAGCGCAATCGATTAGCGAAAAACGTATCTTCAGCTTTTCGATCTTCATAAACTTATGAAAAGCAATATAATTTTTTGTAATGTTTACTACTCTAATTTTCAGAAGATGGTTGGTAAGTATTTTTTCATAACGTAATCAGATGTGCAATACGCCTTTTTGCAAAAAAAGATGCTTTTCTGGTAGGGGTTCCAAAAATTAAAAAACCCCAAGTTTAAGCCATAGCTTTTAGTTCTGTAACATTTCTCTTGTCTCTAACTTTCAGAAAAAGCTTAATTTAACCAGTTAAACTCATACCTGATGCGATGGCGGACTCTCAAACCGGATACATTCCATGTCCAGCTTCCCCACGCATTTACAGTGCGCCTCGATGGCCTCGTATCGTCTTTTTGTCTGTAAAATAATGAATTACGCCATGAAAATAAGAGCATACAAGGTAGATACTATAAACTCCTATTGAAATTTTATGCTATAGACAATTTTACCTGTCTTTTAATACGTGCGTGTCGAGCGCCGCCAGCGCGTTCCAATTTTTCCACCTCGTCCTGGATCTCGTCGGCGAATAGGTCACGCACCCTGAAAATTGGATTTTACCTCATGGCAGGAAGTACAAACTGCAAACTACATAACACCATAGAACGCAAACTACAAACTACATAAAGCCCGGCCACTGGCCACCAATTACACACCAAACAAACATTAGCTAGACGATAGGCCACAAACTACACAAAGCTATTCAGAGCTACAAACTGCATAAATCCCAACTATGCGACATGGTATGCACGACAAAAAGTGAGAAACTGGACAAATCAAAGCAAAAAGACGGAAAACTATCGGCGACAAACTACAAACCTTTGCATCGCAATCGCCGCCTGCTCACGCCTCAAATATTTCGGCTTGTCGCTGTCGGATTTACTTGATGTTTTCGCGTTGTCATAAACGTCCATCTAAACCAGTGTTTTTCATAAGGGCAGAAATAAAATTACTTACCGTATCCTTAATACTCGGCACCATTCGAATCAGACTTCTCTTGTAGGGGTTCAGGTTGCAAAATGTGATCGCCGGAAACATGACGTCGTCGAATTTCAGCTGGAAATGGAATCGTTTTGGCAAAAAATCAGCGCGATCTTTGCGGCAAAATGCATTTTCTGATTTTTTTGTAGCTTTTTTTATCTTTTCTCTTTTTCATATCCCGGATTAGGAGCGTTTCGTAGCATACGGGGTTATTTCTAATCGGCGCCCCTTTGACCGTACCCCGCCGAAATTCGGTCACAACAGCAGGTTAAAATTACGATTTTACCTAGATTCCGGCAGCTCAGTCATACGCGACGCGTCGCGGTCGCGTCGCGGATAATTTTGAGGATAAAGTTCTAACTCTAAAATTTTTGCTGCATTTATGTATTTCCGGCCCCGACACGCGACGCGACCGTTCCCTGTTTTGTTTCGTAATCGGTTACGACACGTTCGCGACGACCAAGCGGCGTGCGTCGCGTGTCGCGACAAGCCTATCGGGAATTCAAAGCCGTAAACCACCCTTGAAAGCGGTCTATCAGCTTAGGGTGTAGCGCGCTGTCGGCGCGTTGCGAGTCTGTAGGCGGTTAGAAGCGCCCAGGCACGGCGCGGGGAATGTCAATATCTCTTCAATGCTACGGTTTCCTGGATACAGTACCGAAATCGAGGTGATCTTCTCCCGTCTTCGATACTTTGCCCCCAGATACGCCGCCAAAATTATGAAAACGACGGCGAAGGCGATGATGATGCACATCCACAAGAATCCCGACACCCGGTTGTGGGCCTGCAGGTATCGCTTGAAGCCGTGCGCTGTCGTCTTGTCACAGAATTCTAAAGTGTGACTCACTACCGTAATCTGGTCTTGCTTTTACCTTCCCATTTCGTCGGGACATCGCTGACGGAGCCTTCAGAAGAGTGCGGGCTGACTAGGTGGTGCTAAAACTCGAAGTTTAGGGACAATTCTGGGGTTTTAAGGGGCCGGGACGCCAGAAAATTGAATGGTTTCGTAGCCTAACCGATCGTCGTACCTTATCATGGTGATGGTGATGCTCAAGTGCCCCTCTTGGTGTCGTTTCTTCATACGGAGGCGCCGGTGGGCGATGCCGCAGCTCGCCCGACATTAGTCGGACTGGAAAGAGAGGAGTACGATGTGATACTATGCACATTTCGGGACTAATTACGAGATTGATGGGTCTGAACCGTTGATTCCGATATTTTGCTCCGTACTAGGGCTCAAGAAAGCTGCGATTTCGAGTATATTATTAGATATTATATTATTATTATTATTATATTATTATTATTATTATATTAGAGTATTAGAGATTATTATATTAGAGTTAAATCGATGCAAATTTAAATAGGGAGTCATAATTGCATACGGCGCGACGCACAACGCACGCTCCGAATGACCGCATAAAATGTCGTAATCCATCGCGCAGTCAATAAAAACGTGCTTGCGTTGCGTGTCGCGGGCGCTGCAAAACACATAGCGAAACCACAGCCAAGAAATTATATTGCCTTAACTTAAAATTTTCTCTAAAGGGATCCACCTGACAGAACAATGGGTTTCTCAACGCGCGCAACATTCCAAGTTTAAGAGTTCGTGATCCATTGGCAATGGAAGGACAATAGCACGCGTTGCATGTCGCGGTGCGACAAATTCGCAAATCTATAAGGCATCGAAAGCCAAAAATTCAAAAGCGGTGCCTTGACCGCCCCTTTAGAGGGATGTAGGTCTGGGAGAATTACAGACCAACTTGGCCTGGCCCATTTAGGCCCTATTAAAGCGAACAATAACGAAACAATTAGTCACCCCTGGCGAACAATGAGTAAGGAAATATCCCCCGTCCCCATCCTCATCATCATATTGCTATGCTAGTCAACTGTGTCAGCTGTTGCCCCCAGAACCAAGATCGGTTCAAAGTTCGGAGCGGCTCGTCGAAACGTTGCAACCCGAGATGAACCGGAGAATTTCGACCCCCAGCAGCGAGGAACGCGCAGCTGAGGGCACGTTTTAAAACCGGAGAACGGCCCCTATGAATAACAGGAAAAGCCTTAAGAGCCTCTGTAGAGGTATTTTTGGGGTCTTATGACAAGAAGGAAAATGCAAAAAATGGGGGAGGCAACTTTGGGGCCGAAAAATTTTGCGGTTTTTTGAGTTTTTGCGGTGGAAAGCTCCCATGGAGCTTTATTACGCAATAACGGGAGGCAGGCCAGCAGCGCTCCCGTGGGAAATGGGGGCAAAAGTTAAGGGCAAGCTAGCAGAGATCTTTGGTAAACAAACTCTCAAAATCTAACTGAAAATCGACTGATAGAGTTGGTTTTTTTCTTTACCGAACCGCGCCAGGCTCCCGAGCAAGCTAGTAGAGACGAGAAGATAGTCAGAATCCGCGCAGGCATTTAGGAAACCCCGATTTTAGACACAGCCCCCCGCAAGCTACCAGAAATTACTGTGGAAGGCTCTGTAATATCAAGTCACAGGCATTCGAGCAGAGTTATTTGGGAAGCCAGTTAGTGATAGCAAGCTCACAGCACGCTAACAGGGATTATTTGGGAAGCCCATCGATCAACCCGAGCAAAAGGTAGGCTACCCGAGGCTATTTAGGAAGGGCAGGGAGTAAGAAAAAACTCAAAGAAAACTAGCATAGACCATTTCGGAATACTTACGGTAGCACTACGGTCCAGAGCAAGCTAGCAGGGGTCATTTGGAAAGGATAGCGTGAATACAAGCCGAAGTACGTAAACGGAGGCCTTTAATTGTATGCCCGAAAGCAAGGCAACTTAGCAAACATCATTTAGGATGCCAAGCGTAGCAAAACAAAGAAGCCAGGACGTCCCGGACATGCTAGGAAAGATCCTTTGAGAAAGTTAAGGCTCCAGCGGCTAGAAGAAGTTATCAAATACCATTTGGGAATGACCACTATTAACACTAGCCCAGGTCGAGCTAGCAGAGACCATTTAAGAATCACAGGGCCAAAAATCTCGAAAAACCTGGCACCAGGTTTTTGAGCAACGTACCAATGTACCCAAGGCTCCCCCTACCCGCCCCGTGACCCAACCCCAATTCCCAGAATTTCCCCAGACGGCCCGATTTTCCAGGTACCGGACTCCCCTTGGGGGTTTGTATTTGTGTCCACTTCATCGGCCTCGAATATTCATAGGAAGTCCGGACCGTGTCACCCCCCACCACCCCAAGCACTCGATTCTCCAAATCCCCTTTTTTCCAGGCCCTTTTGCTCCATTTTCTGCTCCTTTAGACGCCCTCCCATTTCTGTCCCCCTCCCCGCCCCCCGCCCAAAAAAAATGAATGAACGGCTGGGGGGAGGGGAAGTGAAGTCGGGCGGAACGGTCGTGCTCCCCGCGTTCTTTGCTACCCTGAGGCCAACAACAATAATGAAATACACTCAATCGGCTGGGTGAGTTAAGGCGCGAGGCGGAGGAGAACAACAACTTGGAGCTGGGCGGTTGGAAACGTGCAGGATTGGCGAGTTTAAAGGGGCTCGCAAGTTATGGATCGACGCCTGTCGTTTGCTGGGGTTCGACAGTTACGCATCGCCCAAATGACGCAGATCCCGCGATTTTTTGGAGCTGTGAGCAGCAACAGGCAAAAGCGAGATGATGCACGGGGACGTGTCATTTGGGGCGACGCGTCGCTGGCTAGACCTAGCGGGCCTAAGGGGTCGATTGCCGACCTTCTTACTTTAGTCCCTTTAAATCTAAACTTACAGTCTACCCCCAAGCCGCGTGTTAGCTAGATATGCCGAGAAAATAGAGCGAGAGAGACGAGAGACGAGCGACGAGTGACGAGTGAGCGAGTGAGAGAGAGCGAGAGTGAGAGAGAGCGAGAGTGAGAGAAAGAAAGAAAGAAAGAAAGAAAGAAAGAAAGAGAGAGAGAGAGAGAGAGTAAGAGAGAGAGAGAGAACGAAAGTGAGATGATTCCAGCTGACATCAGGCAACGAAAATCGCAACTAGTCTACTCTTGCCCCACGCCCGGGTCTCGCCGCGCTTTATTTCATATGTTAGTGGAGCACGAGTCGGCCATGAATACCCAAAAACCACAGCCAAGAACCAAGCAAGCCTGTGGCCGGGGAGTCTGTCGTTGCGAGATGGAGTACACGCGTATACTTAGATGTCGAAAAGACGTATTTAGTAGTATTACAAAACATGCCAATTACAAAAAAGCAAGCTCGAAAATTCAGCAAAAAAATCGCGAATCCGCCATCGCCAAAACAGTCTTTAATCAGGTTTTGGGGGATCAAAAATATAAATTTAATGGCCGGTCATATCGTCCGATACAGTACGCTACCGTACGCCACCCACCACAGTACGCGACGCTACACTGCCAATGCGGGAATTCCAGTAGGAAAACCTCGAAATTCGAAAAATTCTGAATTATTCGTTATCACCAGAAAATTTATTGGGCCCAGAATTTGGGTAACTGCTGGTGGCGAGTAGGGTAAGATACAGTACGCTACAGTACGCTAAATTACGCCACTGTACTTACGCATCGCCACAGTACAAGGAAAAAACGGTAGGAACTCTCGGAAAAGTGCTAATAAACCAAAAAAGCTTGCTTAAAAGCAGCATATTTCGGGTCTTAAACATCATTTTTACCTTGACAGTCCCTGTTAAAAACCTAAATTCCGCCAGATTCCTATCTGCAACGTGAGCACCGTAAAAAATGACCCGAAAACCCATGTTTCCAGGCACGTTTCAAGCTCAAATATCGACGAACAAACGAGAGAAAATTTGTCAGACCCCCACCAAGAGTCTCGTTTCAAGAGCTGGCCCCTTTTAAAAGAAAAATGGCGTACGCGACGCAACTGTTGCCTCTAAAAAGTGGCGTCCACGGGAGTGTCGCGTAAATAATCGACACCACTTTCCGCGTCTGTCCATCAGTGTCACGATCACTCACCACCGGGATTTGGCTGTGGAAAACCCAAGTGGTCAGCGCTTTAAACTCAACAAATTTACGCCCACTGGAGATCGGGGAACTGGATAACCTAAAGGGATTGTGAAGTCACGGCCTGGATCATTTTCAAGCAGGCAAATTTCCCCAAAACCGAAGCTAGCTTGCCGCTTGGTCGTCTATTGGGCGTAGAAGCTTCCAGAGAAACCCTTGCTAGCCTGCCCTAGATTTCGTAATTCCCCAGGGAAGTCTACTAGCCGGCCCTCTGGCCCGTAAATCTTCCTTTTGGGCATCAAGGATCCAAAGGAATCACTGCCAGCTTGTCTTCCGACCAGTAGATGCTGAAAATTTCCACAATAACCTGTGCTAGCCTTTCTTTCAATCAGCACGTGTACAATTGGGTTCGAAAATTTCGATATAACCCCTGCTAGCTGGCTTTCCTGCCAAAATTCGGCTTCAAATACACCTCAAAAATTCAAGCGTCAAAAACCATCTCAAAGCGGTAAAAGAGACATAGACAAACCCACTCCAGAAAAACAAAAAACATCATTTTCCGGGTAGCCCCGGCCCTTTTTGGGGCCCTACTTAGGGTACTCTAGGAAATGAGAAGAAGCTTTTCTTGGAAAGTGGTAGTGGAAAAGGGATGGGCACTCAGCATGGCCACCGACAGACAGACCAAAGGCAAAAATAAGGGCCAAAAGTCGTGGGAGACCGGGCGAGTCAGAGAGAGAGAGAGAGAGAGAGAAAGAGAGAGAGAGAGAGGGATAGAGAGTGATGAATGCCCCCAGGATATCAATCCACTTGTTGGGCCCCGATCTCTATGGATAGCGGGTGGCACGTTGCACCCGGGACTTGCGCTATTTTTAGGAAGATTTTTAAGGTTTTTCAAGGGCGTTTTGGAGGGATGCAAGGTTGTTTAGATCCAGTTCAGAGAGGGGGTCGATGCCGGTTCTTTTTAAGGAGCTGGCAAGGCAGAAATATGGATTTTCTTGTCTATCGCCCCCCAGTGACTTGACTATAGGCTTCGCGCACGCGACAAGCAACGCAACGCTAACGCCGTTAAGCTGACCTAAAAAAAACTGTCGTAACCGATTACGCCAGTAAGGACAGAGCGTGAGCGTTACGTATTATGGAGCAACAAAATCCATAAGAACTCCACGACAAAAAAATCTATAGCATTGCCTTGCCTTTCCCTTTAAAACCGCAGAAATCAGCGGATTTTCAAAACCTACCCCGCCTCGTTTCGATCGTCTCGTAAATGTGCATTTTAGGAATTTAGCCGTCGTAATTAAATACCGTAGATTTTCTTCTCAAAAACTGTTGCCAACTTTTGGACTGGACCAACTGATTTCCCAAATGTTTTTCTCCAAGCTTTAGGATTGACGGATCAGCTGGCTAGCCCTATTTTCAACCTGCCAATCAGGCCAGGCTAGAGCTACCTAACGACCGTTAATTTGGGGTAAATATCGCACAGAAAATTGGCCCTCGAAACGACCTAGAGGATGCACTATACCCGAACAGACACGTAAAAAGATAGAAAGTGGAAGCTGATTGAAAAACGGAAAACAACGCACCTCCACGGCCGTTGGAGGACAGCTGCTGGTAGGCGACGCGTCGATAGCGTGGATCGTAGTGGGGCATCTTTGAGAGAAAACATCAATTTTGTGAGGAAAAAACATAGAGAAAAACTTGAAATAGAACTAAATAAATAACAAATAACAAATCTGCGTTTTGAAAATCAAGGGTATTAAAGGAAAAATGCACATATTTTGGAGCTTACAACGGCTAAAAACACCAGAAAAGTACCGTTTACCAACTTTTCTCTAAGGTTTTAGAATAGAAATATCATGATAATTTTTTTGCTTAAAAAGTGAAAAAAAAGATAAAGCAACACTCGAATAGCCTACAGGAATCCAAAAATCAAGGCTAACGGGCCCCTCGAAAGTGGCAAAAGCTCCGAACAGCGGACGCCCATCTCGCGTTACAAGGGCAAAACCTGGCCTTTTCCTTGACTGGCAATAAGCATGACAGTGAGAATAAGTCTAAAAATTTGGCTTTAAACTCTTAAATTATCAAAATTACCGCTTATGACTAGAAAATGGATGAAAATTTAGCGATCGGTAAGTTTTAGCAGAAGAGAAGCACATGGACAAAAAACACACCAAGAAAAATCTATATCTCTAAAATCGATAAAAACCAGTAAATTTCAATAAATAAACATGACTTGCTCGACTCGGTGTTTTCTCATAAGCAGCGTTACCTGCCGAAAATGCCCTCGCTCCGGAATTCCTGATCAAATTCCGGCTTCTCCCCCTTTTTCAGTTAAAAGCTATCGCGCCCAAACTCGTTTGAAGTTCTATGACACCGCTTAGGGCATCAAACTCCACCTTATATTCATGATTTTGACAATTTTATATGTATTTCAGTTTAACAGGTTCAGTTTAGACTTTTTCTACCAATTAAAACCGTAAAAACTCACATAAACGTTCGCCGCTTTCCCCCGGTTCATATAGCGTGCCAGCAGCAGAGTGCACTAAAAATCTAGAGTCCAGAAAATTGACAATTTGCTGGTTTTTACGGTATTTTCTAAACTCGCCGCAATAAGAAATATGATGAAAAAGAAGAGCCATATCCCAAACCAAAAACATCGTGCTTTTCGATCGCGCGCCCGAGGTATTGAGGAGAGACCATGCGCCGTGGTCGTCTTCAGGAATTCCACAATTTGTTGCCAGGTCTGAATCACGAAATGTTAGATAGTAGGTAATCTTCTTGATGTATGTAATAGATTTGTATACTTCTATCTTTAACCAGGGTTGAAAAACCGCTTCGCGGCTTTTCAACCCTGGCCCCGTCTAGGATCGATGAAGTTATTGACTTTGCATAATTCTTGTCGAAAACCGCCTCACAAAAAAGAAAAGCGCGCCCTCTCTTCCCTTTTTATATATCATTTCCACTTCCGCCGTATGCTAATTGCTTCCTAACAAAGAGGGAAGCCAAGATTTTTACAAAAACCTGATTTTAGTAGTGAAAATCGAAGTTTTTCAAAACTTTTATGTGTGGGCAGTCGATTCCGGCCCCTTCTTTACCTTATGACGTTTCTTCCCTACCGAAAAAATGCTTCCCTGAGGCTGTAGGTGCGGAACATCCAAACGGAAGTGCATGCAAATATACACACACACACAAACACTATTTTTTTATATATAGTAGGATTTATAAGTTGAATAAGAAAATTCAGATCAAGCTTCCCCTACCGAAACCGGTTCACGGTCCTCAATAATCGTAGACGGCGTGGTGAGCATCTGAGCATCGGGGTCGTAGGAGCTTCTCATTTTCTTTAAGTCTGAGCTTGAAATAAGGGTATGTAAGGGTAATAACGGTATTTCTTACGAAAACCGCTTTGAAAATGGCTAAAATAGTAGGTAGTGGGCTTAAGATCCTGTAAGAATTCTTTACCGCCCCAAAAAACCATATGAATTTGATTTCCGGCAAAAAAGCCCAAAACGTCTGACACCCTCTCAAAAGCAACATCTGATGTTATATCCGGAAAGCTTGGAATACTCAAAAATGTCCGTAAATCGCTACGGCTACATACATCGAGCGGGGGGGAAGGTATTCAATGCATTGCATCGCTAAAACATTCTCCTTTTTGGCTGCCCCATTGGCTTTTGCTGGGCTTTTGCGGCTTTACGTGGTCCGAGTGCACCTTCAATCGACGCACTCAACCAAAATCTGAATATAACCTTTTTAGACAGCGGGTGGCCACTTTTCCTGTGTGGTCAGCGTACTCATTTTGGGCCCGGGAGAACTAAAAATAGGAAAGGAGTTGCGTATTTTAGGCTTTTGAGCATTACTTGTCCCTTGAAAAAGATATATAACGCTTTTGGCTCTGAAAACTGAGCTTTTACCGGGAAACTACAGGGTGTCCCAAACCCCCCACTCTAGCGGCGAGCAGTCGTGTCCGATTTTTATCGTTTAGGTATCTATTGAAAGCTCTTGAAAAGGCGAGAAAACAAGGAGGGTTCATTTTCTTTATTATCTATTTTTATTAGCAAATTTTACGTCCAAAAACCATGAAAACGGCAGATTTACGCGAGATCTGCATGCTAATCGTGAAATTGCTATCGAAAATCTACCTGTTTTTTAGAAGAACTTTGAATATCCAGCGTATAAAAATAAATCTCATAAAATAAATCCCGCTTGTTTTCTCGCCTTTCCGAGAGCTTTCGATTGGTATAAAAATCATTCCGATCCGATCCGATTGACGGCCTCTAGAGAGGGGGTGGGGGGTTTTTGGGACACCCTGTAGGTTATGCTATATAAGATAGGTTTCAGGTGCTGGGATTAGATGGGTCGAATGGCCTAAGATGGTCGTTGAGGTCGTATCTTTCTTCGTTCTCTCGCTCGCTCGCTCGCTCGTTCGCTCGCTCGCGCTCTCTCTCTCTCTCTCTCTCTCTCTCTCTCTCTCTCTCTCTCTCTCTCTCTCTCTCTCTCTCTCGCCCCATTTGACAGCCCAATAATTGGCAGGTGCATCTTCTGGCGCCGGAAATCCAGAGCACTTCCCCGAATGGTGCCGAGAAAATCCTCAATGTAGTGGAATGACCATACACTTATGAACTAAAACCAAACCCTAAATTATATAAATAAGAGATTTACTTGGACCAAATAATTAATTATATTAAAACCGCAATCCAAAGTACAGTAAATTTGAAAGATGTCCTTGAAAATCAAAATCGGAAGAACGAGAACTTGCTAGTGGCGAACGCTGACCCACGTTCCAGCCCCCAGAAGCTTTCACCAATTTTCACAGCTGGAGCCCGCGGTCACTTCCGCGCTAGGTCCAAGCCAGTCCAAACTGGCGATTTCCAATGATTTTAGCCATTCCAGTGTCAACCTGCGAAGCTGGATCACAATAATTTATTATCAGCACACACAACACAAAACCTTTGACTTGCTCTAAAAACTCAATATTTATTGCTAAGGAGAAATTGATGGGATCCAAAATTAACGAAAAGCAACAAAAAGGGGGAAACGCTATGAGTCATAAAAACAATAGTCATAACCTCATTCGCCATAAATTCCAATAGTCATAAACTCATTAGTCTTAAATTTCAAAAGTCATAAATTTCAATACTCATAGTTTTTAGTATATGGATACTCGGTAAAATAGTCAGTTGGGAAAAAATTTGTGCCAGTGACAGTCGATTTGACCCTACTAACAATTTATGACTAACGGTTTTATGACTATTGAAATTTATGACTAGTGGGTTTATGACTAATGAGTTTATGACTACTGAGGTTATGAGTGATGGTTTTATGACTAATGGGGGCAATCAACAAAAAGGCTACATAGATTCGAAGCTCCAGAACCGGAGGCGATTTGCATAAATTATCGACTCGAAAATTAGAATTTGCGCCACCTACACATCATCGCCCGGAGGCCACACCGCCGGTGGCTCGGTCATACTCGGTAAGTCAGGTCGGATTGAGCCTATTGGTCATTAGACTTAAGTTAGCTTTGCTGGATTAGGTTCTTGTATGCTTGGCCTCGTTAGTTCGATGATTGAGCCTAAGCATAGGCATGAAATGGGGGAGCAGCTTTTCTGCTTTTCGTCCTTTTCATGGCAAAAGCGTTTGGTTTTATTAGTGAAATAGCTCGTATGTTACCCCGAAAAAACCGGATAATTGTACCAAATGGCTTGCTCAATAGCGCTTCTTTTTTTTTAGATTAGGACACACCGTGGATATAAACTAAGCTTTTTAAAACGGGATTTTAGCCGCGGAAGATCAAGCCAATTGCCGAAAATCTCATCCCCGCCCGTGCGACTCCGCGCCCGCCCCCAAACGCGACAACAGTCCCCGAGGGATCACCCGGTCCCGAGGTCCCGAGATTGTCATCTAGATTAAATTGATAAATTTTAGATCATCCACCGGGTCGTCAAGCCCATCGACCACTTCAACGAGGCCGAGGAGCCCAGCAAAGTAAGCCAGACTAGGAGTAGGATTGGCTTGAGCTTAGCTTAGTCTAAGGCTTGGGTTAGCTTAGCCGGCTCGCAGGTTTATGCATTCTTTAGATCGTTAGGTTTGGACATGGAAGGGGGTAGCAACCGGGGTTCAATAATTCCCTTCCGTTCATGATTTTTACGATATTTTGTTAATATTCAAAATTCATCGGATGCGTTTTGATAACCCGAAAACCCCATAATTAAAGTATTAGAGGAAACAACCCGCTACCCGATAAGTATAGTGTTGATCGGGACTGTTGAGATTGATCAGAAATCAGTTTGTGAATATGGCCTTATAATGATTTCGTCCAGGACTTCGAGCAGCTGCCAGTCCCCGAGGATGATCCGACGGTGTGCCATGCCTGCCAGGCGGAGCCCTACGAGACGCTGCGCCAAGGGCTCGGGTTGGGACGATCCTGCAAGAATCGCTTCTAGTAGGATTTTGCTATGTGCCGAAAGCCAGTATTTTTTTAGTTATCAGGCCAGGAAGCCGAGTGAAGAGCGCTGCCACGCCCCGGGATGCCCGTTCGCCGACTTTGAGTGGGTAGCTAAAGTGGCTGGTAGACCTCCCGGCAAAATGGCTAAAGTAGCCGGGCTTCAACAAAATGGAACTGGACTGTAGACCATAACTTGAGCTGCAACCCGGAATTCATAAAAATTTGTTACCAATTCACAAAATTTCCAATTTTTGTTCTTCATTTTCAGTTCAGTTATTAATACATATTAAGAAATTGGGTTCGTAGCCAGGATCGGTGAGATCACTTTTCTTCCCACTAAAAACGTAGAAACCCAACCCCCTAACAATTCGGTACGAACAACAGCTGCTTTGCACCCCACCAATTTTAGGTTCATCAACATGCCGACGGACCCGACGGACCCGGTCAGGCGCCGTACGTGCTTGAGTAGGTCCCAGACTGCTTACCAAATCATGTAATTTTTCAGGGGAGATGGCGGCGACCGGCTGTGGATATTGTGTGTTCCGCGTCGTGCAAGCCCTCCAGATCCGCTCGGAGGAATGAAGGAACAGGAGCGAAGGGCGAAAGAAGGAAGCCAGCATCCACCTACGCGCAATTTCATTGACTCACCGATACCGATAAATGCCACGTGGCCGAGAATTAAATCCTTCCATTTCGACAAGCACCCTCGTAAGGATTTGGGCAAAAACGAGAAACTCCTTACTGCACACGGGAAAGTGACAAATGAAAAAGTGGGAATTCACAAACACATGTTGTTGGGGCATAATATGGCAAATTAGGGGTTGAAAAATGCCACCGATACACAGAGATTTCGTTAAAACTGAACATTTGTAAAGCCTAGAAATTGCACAGCCATGCCCGGGGGAGAGGGAATTGTTCCATATGATTAGACACTACCGGTACCATGGATAGAGGGAAATTGTCAGCGAAAAAAGGGTGGGAAGGGGTGAAAATTCGAAATCACAGTGTGAATTGTTTTGAGGGGGAATGAGGAGGAGAACTGGCGACAATTTTTGTGGCTGGCACCAAGAATTGAGGCACAGAAATGAACTGAAACGGTAAACATTGAAAATATGGCCTTTACGCCGATTTAGAAATTTTCAAAAAAAGTTTGTTTTTGAGGTCAAGAGCCGGTAAATGCTCGACTTCATCCACTGCTCGCTCACAAATCCTCATCTCCAGCACTGGGGCACCGCGTTCACGTCCGCTTAATTTGGTAAAATCGGCTGAAAAGTCTCGGTAGCTTTTTTTGGGGACAAGGGGAAAATTCGATTTTATACTCAGTCCATTAAATGGCAATAAGGCAGACTCGGAAACCAATGTTAATCGAAGATAAAAAATCGTAAAACAATTTGTATATTTCAGCCTATATACGGAAGAAGAAGATTAAATAAAAGAAGAAGAAGATCTTTTTTTACAGGGCAAAATGCGAAATCTGATGTGGTTTGAGCAGCAAACGCATAGTTAGCGTGCTCAAATTCTAGTATAATGCCTCAGAAGCAGGGTTGGTCATTCTGCGAGCCGGCTCTGAGCGGAGCTGAGCGGGAGCAGGAGCCGAGCGGAAGCTGAAAATTTTCAGCTCCCGCTCAGCTCCAGCTCTTGACCCGGCTCTTTTGGAAAAGAGCGCGAGCCGAACCCTTCTACTCCACCGGATGTTGAAAATTAGTTATTTATGCAACTCTCCCGAAATTCCAAAAAAATGGAGTATTTTTGGCCTTGCATTGCCTTATTTGCCTGGATATCTGATTTGCAGCATCCGGTTTGAATTGAAGGTGCCACGACATTTGCGGCCCGATCATTTGCGGCCCGACCCTTGCGCCCGACATTTGCGGCCCCGACAATTGCGGCCCGAAGCTGTAGTTAATTACCAAAAACTGTAGCTTTTAACCGTCTGGAAGGCTAGTTTTCGGCATGGTTTTGATAGCTTGTCCCCTGGTATTGACCTAAAAATAAGGCTTCGTGCCACCTGGGGTGGCACGAAGACGGTGTCGCTTCGGATGGGTGCGACCTCGTACAGGGTTTCGAAATCGGGGCGTCCGAGGCGCGCGTAGCGGCCAGGCGCCCCGATTTCGAAAGAGTGGAGGGGCAGCCCATCCGAAGCGACGGCCCGCCTTGCCTGAAAATGCTTTAGACCCTTACTAACCCTCTTTTTAATTTTATATTGAGAAAAATGGGCTGAATAGGACGGGCCGCAAATGTCGGGCGCAAGTGTCGGGTCGCAAATGTCGGGCCGCATCTGTCGGGCCGCAAGTGTCGGGCCGCAAATGGTCGGGGAGCCGAATTGAGCGGGGTTCGGTTCTAGCTCTTTTCCAAAAGTTCTACCACGAAATTGTTCTTTAAAGGGGCTCCGAAATCTGGTCCACGGCCCCCCGCCTTGATTCCTGGCAAATAGCCAGATGCGGCCGCAAGCCGACCGCGACGCATGTTCTCTTGGAAGGGAAAACGCGTGAATTTGAAAATTCTGACGATATTTCTGTAATCCTCATCGAATTTTGTTCATTTTAGACTTTTTAATTATCAAATTGACCTGGGAATCACCGAGATCGTCGGATTTGAGTATGACACAGGGAATTACGACATGTAATCGCCGCGCGCCCAAAAAGACGTTTTCGCCCCGAAAACATTTCGGTTTTTCTCCGATATTTTGCGCTTTTTCGAAACGAAATCAATTTTCTGGCACTTTTCGGCGGGAATCCATTCGTTTTTTTCAGCAGTAGGTTCAATCCCCGAACACGCGAATTTTGACTTCCGAGCCCCTTTAAAAAGCGCTAGAAATATATATTTAGCGAATGCCAGAACAGCAACAGTAAATATAACCGCAAGAGCAGCTCCAAAATAGGTGAAAATTCAGTCCTAAAAATTGGCCAAAACCGTGCAGACGAGCAAAGGATTTTGGGGAATTTCGTAAACACTCAACAAAAATAAACCCGAAAAGGATTTAGAAGCCAACGAAAAGTAACAAAAATTTTAGATAGATTCGGAGTCCCAGGACCGGAGCTGATTTGGATAAATTATTGACGCAAAAATTAAATGTCTCGCCCCGGTGCCATTCAAGTACAACAGTAAATCATTCCGCACCCTCGACAAAATGACAATCGGCTGGGCCCCCATCCTGGCGCTTGTCTTGATGCAGGTATGTTGATATTCAAATTAGCTAAATATTCAAATTTTCTAGGTGACCGGCGATGACGAACGGGAGGGCTCGAGCGAAAGCGAGATGCAGGAGTCGGACGCCAAGAAGAAGGAGAAGAAGGCCGGCTGCTCAAAAGAGAAAAAGGAGGGAAAGCCCAAAGGTATCATTGAGAAAGATCGTATCATTGAGATTAGAGCTATCCCATCTCGAAATTCAGCCTTTTTCGGATTTCGATGCGTAAATAGCGGATTCAGCAGCGCTAGACATAGCTGCATGTACAAGCTGCAGATTCTCAGTTGGAATTCCGTAGCTCAAAATACAATTTTTGACGAGCAAACGGTTTTTAAAGAGAATGGGACACTAGAATTTGCGGCAAAATTGCGTTTTTAAAGGGCTAGTTCAGCCAATAAAACAAAAGAATTTCCGTGGCCAGGAGTCGAACCCTCTCTGCGTTTTTGTGTCTGCGCCTCTCTCATTTCTCCGATCTCTAATAGCTGCCGTAATGGGGACTGTTCGGGCGCACTGTACCTACGTCCATAGTTTCCCAAGGTACCAGCCCAAGCTCCAAAGGTTGAACTAGCCCTTTAAGGCGCAATTGAGCAGCAAAAATTGTATTTTAAAGGAAGCGCGACAGTACGAAGCCCAAAATTTACGCTGAAAGTAGTAATCAAACGTCAATTAAATTTGTTTTTTAGTCGAGATCAAGCAGGACATGATGAGCAAGTACAACAACACACATCATCAGCCGAGCGTCTCCACTCAGAAGACCGCCCACCCTTTGCCACGCCCGCGTATGCTGATCATGTTCCATCGAACGCTGAAGCAATACGCTGTCGTGAGTTTTTTATTCTGGTTCAGGCTAAATCCTCGTTTACCCCCCCTCCCACCCCTCAGCGTCCAATTCATGCGCCAAGCCGCTCAAAATGTTCTCCTCGCCAAATACTTGATTACTATTCACCTTTTGTGACAAAAAAAAATAGCAAACGACAATTTCGGAAGCAATTATTGTCGCGGAGCAACTATAGTCTGGCGGGGGAAAGAGCGACGCCACACCCCTCTAGACGCTTACGACTGGGAAAGGCCTGGATGTTAGCCCCATATAACTAATTGTTATTTAAGCTTTAACAATTTTTTTCTTTCTGACTTCTTTTTAAAAAGTATTTGGAACGCTAGTATTTGACGAGGCGAATATTTTGAGATTTTTGTCATTTTAATTGGATGACTGGGAGATCCACACTGGCTGGGGGGTAGGCGAGTGGAGGGGACAAACTGGAAATCAGCGAGAACAAGGCTTTTACCCAATTGCTGCTTTACGTAGAAATTATAGACGCTGGAGACAATTCATCATCTGCTCCTCGTCAGGCCCTGGGCATTCGGTTTCGTGAGCAGGCCGTACACGCTCACCTTTCTTCCGATCCAGGTAAGAGTTTTGCAAGCTTTACAGTCTTTCTTTTATTTTTAGAACTGCTCGCTGACGATGCACCGCGCCGCCATGGTGCTCCTCCCGTTCACAATCCCGGTTGCCATTCTTTTTGCCCCATTTACACAATCATTTCCAGGAACTGCCCCACTTCGTCTACACCAGCATGCCGCCACAAGAACTCGGTGAAGAGACCTCGCCTCGAGATGGCAACGACGAATCGGGCGGCACGTCATACACTGTAAGCCAGGTCTTGGATTGGGCCTATGCTTAGGCTTCGGCTTAACTTATGCCGATTCACTAGACTTCGCATTAGCTTAGCCGGTTTAGCTTTATGTCGAACTTGGACTCGTTAGGTTGATTGTTGGACCTAGATATAGGCATGAAATGGGGGGAGCAACTTTTCTTCCTTTCGTTCTTTTCATGGCAAAAACGTTTGGTTTTATTAGTCAAATTGCTCTTATGTTACCCCGAAAAACCGGATAATTGTACCAAATGGCTTGCTCAATAGCGCTTCTTTCTCTCGATTGGGTTGTTGTGGTTAGTTGTTCTCTAGCCAATGCTCGGAAACACCTAGATTCTGTTTTTACTGCAGCGAAATATAACCCCACTGTGATTCTATCACCCCTTCCCCCGCTACGCTATAACTACCGTATTGTGTCTGCGAGTTCTGATTAATAATGAGTTTCTGAATATGGTCTTGGGAAAGTTCGCCATATCATTGGCTTAAAATTTAACTATATTTTGGATAACCCGTAAAGTCGCGATTTTCACTATTTTGAATTTTGCAGCCAGTTCTCCTGCCACCAACAGGACGCCAGCCACAGGGACGGCATCGCGCGGAGCCGGTGGCTCCGTCATACTCCGTAAGTCAGGTCTTCGATTGTGCCTATGCTTCGGCTTAGGCTTGGGTTAAGCTTAGCCGGTAGACATAATCCAGATGCAGTCATAACGTAGTCATTCGAATGTTGTCCAATTTAAAACTTATGGTTTTAGGATCTGGGGCTCCCAGCTGAAGTGCCCGAATGCTACGTCTGCGACTCGGAACCGGGCACCCTCGTACTGCTACAGCAGCGGATCGGAGTGAAGTGTCTCAACGCGCGAAAGTAGGAATCTTAACAGGCTCCCGAATATTTGTGTTTTAGCTACTACCTCCAGAAGCCGCTCGAGAAGCGGGCCCACAAGAAGAAGTGCCCACACAAGGACTTTGAGTGAGTAAATACAAAATAAACAGCTAGATCAGCATAAATTACAATGAAACATGTTTGTTTCAGCAGCTCCCAGCTGCCAACGGACCCGGAGCTGCCACGCACCACCTTGAGTAGGCTACTAAAGGGCGTCTCAATTAAATATCTTATTGCAGGAGAGAGCGCTGCGACCGGGTGTGGCTTCTGCCGCGTGCTCGTCATCCAACAGCTCCAAGTCTCCTTCGCCATCTACTGATGAGACCCTCCGCCTCCCATCCGCCCCCAAGAAAAAACTCGAATACTCGCCGCATCGTACTTGATTTCTTTGAATAAACGTGATTCAGTGAGATTGGCGGAACAAAACACGGAAATACACCTGAAAATGCTCTGCGCAAAAACTTTCAAAGTCGCGTTGAAAAGTGTTCGCATGGCAACTAGTTTTCCTGAGATTTCTGTAATTTCTGTAAATGTGAAAAGCTATCGTTTGAAATCGGAAAGCAAATGGCCGAGGAAACCGATGGCCGGACTTCAACCTTCCAACCCGCCACAAGCAACCATTTGGAGACGTTTCTGAGGTTCGGTCGTCAACCGGCAAAACCCGGATCGCAATAATTTATTATCAGCACACACAGAAAACAGCCCAAAAACACCAAACACTAGAACAAAACTCCTTACTGCACACGGGATAGTGACCAATGAAAAAGTGGGAATTCACAAACACATGTTGGGCATAATATGGCAAATTGGGGGTTGAAAAATGCCACCGATACACAGAGATTTCGTTAAAACTGAACATTTGTAAAGCCTAGAAATTGCACAGCCAAGTCCGGGGGATAGGGAATTGTTCCATATGATTAGACACTACCGGTACCATGGATAGAGGGAAATTGTCAGCGAAAAAAGGGTGGGAAGGGGTGAAAATTCGAAATCACAGTGTGAATTGTTTTGAGGGGGAATGAGGAGGAGGAACTGGCGACAATTTTTGTGGCTGGCACAAAGAAGTGAGGCATAGAAATCTAGGAGACCGATGGGGCGTTGACTTGCGGGCTCCACGCCGGGTCGCTGGCAGCCATCATCGTGTTTCGGTCGGCCTTCTTTCCTGAAATTTAAGTTTGAAGAAGAATTTATAAAAAAATGGGAAAAGTGGTTGGTACTGGCGCAAAATCGGCATTGGGAACAAATTCCTTTGTTTCCTAGTTTTATAGTTTTTTGAGAACATTCGCTATATTCCAGGCGGCGCAACTATTCAGAAATTTCAAAAATTGGTTGGACACTCGATTTTTTGTTATCAAAATTTGTTTGGGGTTTTAACGTACAAGAATACAAAAATACTGTAGAACAGCTCTGTTATCCTACTATATATAAAAAAATAGTGTCTGTGTGTGTGCACTTGCATGCAACTTCCGTCAGGTTGTCCGGAGGATATCTCGAGAGGGGAAGGCCCTTAAGCTATATTTGATACACCATTAGGTGCGTAATGGCTCCAAGATGACTGCACGCTTATCAGATTGTGCAGATTGTTCGATTTTTTACATTAAAATAAAGTTTTTGTTGAAAAATAGGACACCCCTCTTTGTTAGGAAATAGTTAGCATACGCCGGAAATGGCGATAGCCTATATAATCGGAAAGAGGGAGCGTCTTTTCGTTTTTTCGTTATCGGGATTCAGGAAAATTATGTAAGGCGAAGAAGATTGTAGGGTCCGACGGAACCAGGGTTGAAAAGTCGCGAAGCGGCTTTTCAACCCTGGTTTATCAGAAAAATTGGGCGCTAAGGAAAAATTTTGTCCCTACGATTTTAAGAAAGCAACCGTGGGTTTGACAAAAGCCGCTTATAAAACCGCACCTAACGCCATAAATCCATAGCAGCAACCGCAGGCGAAGATCATGCCCGAGCCGAGGAACGTCTCCAACTCGATGCAGATGAAGATCGGGATCAGGCCCATCCTAAAATCCAACGTTCCAGAAGGTAAAAAAAAACAGTAATAATCGCCTCGCTAGAAAACAAACGTACACTCCGTAGAGGATGGCCTTGTGGAAGTGTGACCGCGATTCGCTGAACGCTGCCAGCTTCTCGATGAAGTCGACGAACTGGCAGCAGAAGGGCGCCTCGAGAGCCACTGTCAAGAAGCCGGAGACCCTAAAATGTAATTTTATCAGGTGAATAAAAATCAATAACGAAAAAGAAATTGCCAGAGCTTCGATAAAAAGGCATAATTTTTCGGCTACGCATAATTTCAAACCCAAAAATGACTTACATCTGAAGTAACACGGCAATGATGCACTTCGGCGTAAAGGAGATCAGCCCGACGACACCGAAGAAAATGGCGATGAAGCCTCCAACGATGCCGACGGCCTTTGCGAGATAGCGAATCCACCTAAAAACACAATTTTTCAGGGTATCATAAATAACATCGATGCTAAAATGATAATATTTAAAAAAAAAACGAACCATGGGTAATTGGCGTTCGGGTCATGTTCGGCTTGCATCTGCGTCTGCACGCCCGATGCGGCTGCACCCATGTTCGAAAACATTCTGAAAATGGTAGATTCATAAAGGAAGCTGCGCGAGAGCAGCGAAAAAGCAGAAATGGCACTGGGAGCAAATACTCGAGGTTTGAGTCAGAGAGAGGGGTTATGAAAGACCTGGAACTGTCAAAAGAAGGGCGCAAAGGGACCCCGAATCGATTTGATAAGGTCGTATAGGGGATCAGATGCGAAAACAAGACATTGCCAAGCTTTTGGGAAAGGTCTCAAGAAGCAGGGTACACCGAAAAAGGCCGTAGAATGGAGCTCGAAATTTAGTTGTAAACAAATTCCCACCGTGCAAGTCGACACGCGTGCTCACCAATTGTTTAGGCACGCATAGTGTGATTCGGTGCGGAAACACTAGCCGCAGGCCTATATAGAGACAAGATGCCGGGTGGGCGATCGATGGCCCCAAAGGGAGCTCGGGGCCCACCACGTTGGCCTCGCAGGGGCCCCCTACGGAGGGTCCAGATTGGGCATTTTGCCCGAGAAGACGGGGTTGAGAGACAAATTGCGCCCATTTGGACGGGTTCAAAGCCGCCGTGGGGCAGAAGTTTGGGGAGACAGGGGGTAATGGAGAGGAAAGTAAATGAAAATATCATGCTTTCTAATATAACCGCCATATATCATGCGCTGAACGATGCCAAAAGCCAAGAACCACTTGTTTTGAAGCTCCGAATGAAAAGCAAACTTGTAAAAGAACGATAGAGGCATTATGGTGGCCATAAATTGATGGCGATTCGATGGAAAATAGGAAGATGCCGCAAAAGGAAGCAATCGTAGCAAGGGAAGCAAGGAAAACACGGAAATTCGGCAAAATTGGGTTGATATTCCGATAATCAGTTGATTATCGATACTGTTTGTCCACAAAAAGGAAACTTATGGTGCAGAATTCGATTGGCGAACGGTTTTGGCGAGGCTGGAAAAAACGCGCCTATAGTTTTATGCGTTAATTTGTAATTTTCGTGAAAAGTCTGCAAAAACAAATAGCAACGGCTTATAGAATTGAAAATCCTTCACTACGGCACTACCGAGCTATAGTGATATACCGCATAAAATGAGAACGTATAGCATAGAAATGGATTTGTGAAAAGGTGAAAAAGAAATTTCTTTTTTCGAAAATTAAAAAAGGGACGAACATAAATAGCGATAGCTTTGCGTTACCGTAATTTACACTACCGTACTACGGAAATATTTTTTGTGAAAACCCTGTAAAGTAGAATTGAAGCGTCCGGGCGTGTCTTATTCGAAAATTTGGCTTGTAGCAAACCGTTTCAAAAGTTTCAATCGACTTCCGGCCATTCAGAAGCCGTGCAGACGTTCTATGTGTTCATCCGGGTCGTGTGCCACATTGCTGGCCGGTCACCGCCGTTCCAGATAGCAATTTCCTGTAAGAGCGCGCGATGAAGCCGCCCATTGGATGGCGATGGAGCCCTGTTCCTGCCCGCCGGCCCCTATTTTTCTCACCCCCCGAAACTGTGAAGCGATCCTTGATTTCTCGGCTCAATGACTCACGCACTGGTCGAGGTGACGCCACTTTGCCCCCATATGGCCAGCGCAATTTATGGGCCAACGCGAGCCCTGGCTTGTTTTTGAGCGCCAAAAGCTTTAGGCTTCTCAACATGTGTTTACGAAGGTTTAGTTTTTAGTGATGTTGCACCCCGCCACGAAACGCTTGTAAATTAGCGTCAAATTCGTTTCTCGTTCCTGTTTGTTCGATACGAAAGGACATCCCAGGCTCTTCAAATGAAATGTTTGAGCGGGCAAAGTAGTATAAGTAATTTAGTGTAATTTAGCCTAGGTGACCTAATTGAGATTTATAGGCGAAAAGAGATTTTTACTACGTGTGATTTACTTTTTTAGTTATTCAAAGATGCTCGTTATTTTTAATTAGCTTTAAAGGGCGCTAAATATGGCTTGCCTAACTGATGTACGTTGTAAATTTCACGCTTGAGACGATTCACCGACCTGTTTCATGCCTTTAAGAACGCTGACGCAAATTCACAATCCAAACACACTTCAAGCGTAGTTCGCGATGTATTCGGCGCGACATCCCCATTGTATATTCGATTATCGATATGTTCATACCGGATCTCCCTCTGCATACCGGGTCCCTTCTCCTCTGCTTCTCCCAGTCGTTATGACTGAATTTAATCTTCTCTTTTCCAGCCGATTTGCCCCTATGAGCTTAAGCCTGCGTCGGTGATGCTGTTGACAAAAGCCTGTACGCGATGGCGACTCACCGCCATACCACGGGCAATTCGACCAAATCTGCCCAGCACCAGCAAGCAACTCCTCACCGTCCCGCGGCTCGTCGCCTTTGCTGGCGGCTCGACGTTGTTTCTGCGGTCTACAGGTTGGATCTTTCGAAAAAGAATGATTTAGTTATACAGCTCACAAGGAAACTTGTTACAATCGGGCTTTCACACGGGACCAAGCCAAGCTTGTGCAGAATTTTGCTTTGATTCTAAATCTGGTTTCAGAATCTGCGAAACCATCAGATTAAAAGGGTTATGAATATTTGAAGGGTGAAAAAGGCAAAATGATCGAATTTCCAGAAATTCTTGCGTTTACCGCACAAAAAGGCTCCAAAACTTGTGTAGTCTGATAGTCTCGCGGATTCAGAAACTAAGTTCGGGGTCAGCGCAAAATTCACAAGGCAGGCTTGGGGCCACGCGATCGCACGACTATCACTAAAGCGTCTCTTTGTCAGTGAAAATCAGTAACTTTTTGTATTCAGGTCACTTCCTACAATGCCGAAAAATGTTGTGCCACCTGGAAGAACAAACCATCGATGACCCATGGCTGCTACAGATACCGACAAAAGTGGTTGGAGATTCCCACTCGTTTTGGCGTCGCCTTTTGACCTCACCAATTAGGTGGGTGCTTTCCAAATGGCGAAGGAAACCTTATTTTTAGTCTTCTGATCGTCACCTACAACTCGTTACAAATGGCGCTGCGCTTCCTCGTGCTCTCCTTCCGCTTTGTGCCGCTAATCTTGACGTATCCGTTAATGGCCTGCACGGAGAAGACGTACGATCTGTGGTGGAGATTTGCGCTCTGGCATGTGCAAGCTTCAGGTAAGTAACAGGAAAGCGCGTTAAAAACTCGATTTTCAGGGCCGACCCTCATAAAGCTCGGCCAATGGGCATCAACCCGACGCGACGTATTCAGCAAGGAATTCTGCGACCGTCTCTCCATCCTCCACACCAAAACCAAGAAGAAGCGGTTGTTCCGCGACTGTGACAAGGTGCTCGTCTCGCTGTTCGGGCCCCAGATTCTCAAGAATAAGGCACGCATCTTCCCCAATATCGAGCCGTACTCGATCGGCTCTGGCTGCATTGCGCAGGTACGATTTTTCTTAGATTTTCAGATGAAATTACCGCGTTTAGGTCTTCCGCCTGACGATGGACTTGGAAGAATACGAGCGCATCTACGGCGTCCGGGTCCCAGGGCTGGAGGGCATGACCAAGGTGGAGATGGCCGTCAAAGTGTCCGAGAAGGGCGTAGAAGACATGATCGAAATGGACCTGTCGATCGTCAACAGGCTGGCCAAGCTGACGCAGATCTTGATGCCCTCTCTCAAGTACCTCGACCCGATCGGCGCCATCGAGCAGTTCGAAATGGTGCTGAGGCGGCAGGTTGACTTGCGGAGCGAGGCGAGAGCGCTGAAGAAATTTGCGGAAAATTTTGACCCAGTGAAAACGGGGATTAGGTGCGTTTGTTTTTTCTAGCCTTGAGAGCCATTCTTAGGTTCCCTGTTGTCGTCGCCTACAACAAGAAGGCCATCATGGAGACTTTCGAAGAAGGGATGTACATCAACCGGCTTGTCGCCGAGGAAGAAGACCCAGAGCTCAAAACCAAGCAGGCGCCGGCAGTACGCCGCAAGATTGCGATGCTGGGGGCGAGGGCGCTGCTCAAGATGGTGTTCGTCGACAACTTTGTTCACGGAGACCTTCATCCCGGCAACATTCTCGTCCGGTTCAACGACAAGGAAGCATCCGGCGTCCATTTTGCGCCACCTTCTGCATCTCGTTTGGCCAGGATCAAGGACTTTTTGCGGGATACTTTTAGGTAATTTTCTTATTTTTTAAAATTCTTCCCTTTTTCTAGAATCCGCGCGGCTCCCCGGTTGAACTTTTCCGATTCCCCCGACCTCAACGACGAGCCAACCCTCATCCTTCTCGACACGGGTATCGCCATCTCGGAGACGCCGAAGAATCTCCGGAATTTACGACGCATCTTCCGGTGTATCGTCGAGAAGCGCGGCTATAAAGCCGGGGAGTTGATGCTCGAGGATTCGCCGTATCAAAACTGCAAGGACCCGGATCGTTTCTGCACCGAGGTCGATAAGCTAGTTGCGAAGGCGCGCAGCGAACGCTCGTTGCGCACGCTGAACATCTCGGCGTTGATGTCCCAATTGTTCAGGTAATTTTTTCAAAATGTTGGAAGTAGGAACTTTGGTTACTGTTAGCGGGGCCCTAGCTTTTTAATAAACGCTCTATTATGAAACGGAAATAATTTTGATAGCCTTCACGCCTTCTTCGGCGTAATATAGCCTTTATAAAAGAATCATTTTTTTAGCAAGACGTGATTTTTGTTCAGAAACGTATGAAAAGAGCCAAAATTTCAAAAATTAAGCGTTCTGCAGGTTTTGATAGCTTTCTATTGTTCGGGAACTACTAAAAACGAAAAAGAACCTATAAAGAGAAAAATTTTGCTAGGCAGGCCAGATAACGAAATCCAAAATGTTTAGTAAATCGAGATATACCGTTTCTTGCAGCATCGTCTCCGAGCATCACGTCCAGCTCGACTCGGCCTTCACGAGCATCCTGCTCTCCATCATGGTGCTCGAGGGTTTCGGCCGTTCGTTGGACCCGGACCTCGACCTCTTCCAATGCGCCAGACCCTATTTGCTGAACGTCATGTTGTGAAGTGCCTCCCACGTCTTCTGAATTGTGATTATTGTTTTGCCATGGGATTCTGTTGCTGTT